CTGGTGTTAAATTGTAAATTTCCAAATGAAATTTTATTCAAGAATCTCAAGCCCACAAGAAATGCTTTATTTGTAACAGTTTAAGTAGAGCTTCGAACAGGAAGTTATAAAACAGCAACTTGCCAGCTGTGACAGCCATTATAAGACAAGCATTTCTTTGTTGCAAATTAATAATTAGCACTGGATCTCAAAAGAGCCATTGTAGAGTTTGTACTTAAATCAAAAGACCCGACAAAAATACTAAAGTACACTTTGTTCAAGGAATTAAATGGTTTTTATGATGAAAGAATGATAGAGGAGTCCCATTTTTGTTTAGTTATTTCTGCAAATGAGCTGTAAGCACAGTCACATTCTGCATGTTATAATGCAGAATTTATGGAGCTTTGAAAGTGGGAGCCATAAATCCTTCAACGCTCAGTGATTGGCTATGTAGGAGGGAGTCTGTCTTGAAGTGATTTCATGAGTGCAGAAGAAAGAGTCTAGGAAGGAGGGAAATTAAACTAAAGTTTGGAGGACGAGGAGGAGGAGGAGGCGGAATAGTGGGAGGATGAGTGGGAGGAGATTTAATTTCAAACTGCAGAAAACGTTGACCGTTACCACTCTGAGCTGAGCAGCCAATGCAACCCTAAAGTGAGCAGGATAAAAGAGGGGTAGGAGGTGGTGTGTGTGTGTGGCCAGAACTGGGGGGTTAACAAAGGAAAGCACAGGACCAATGATGTCACTCCTTCTTACAACATAATGTGAATGAGGAATGTCCCTGTGAGAATTCTTTTTATGGTTTCAGAGTACAGACTAGGTTTGCTTTATGTGTGTACTGTGACCTGCAGGAATGCAGCACAGCCTTGTTTGTTACCAGCCATACACACGCACGCGCACACACGTAAAACAAACACATATCTTCAGCTGACCTTCAGCCTTTACTCCTTTTCCTGCATCATGTTTCCCTAGAGCTCTAACTTTGCTTACATTAAACTGAAATGAGCTATTAATAAATAATGTTCATCATTTCTTTCTATGTTTTCAATTCTTGCTTGCCATGATAAGTTTGGCCAGAAGATGGCCTCAGTAGACTGGTGTGCACTTCTTACTGATCACAGCTTGTTGTTATAATATGTGATTCTTTCTGAGAAATAATTAGGGATTTACCTCCTTATGAGTTTACTTAGTGAGAAGAAACTCTGGATGTGCGTTGTTATATTCCAGTAATGCTTGTTGTACCTAACTGAAGCAGCAGGAGACTTATGTTTGTTGAGCTGATAAAAACTCCAGTGAAGTTCAAAGAAATTAAAGCTTGATTGTGCTGTATTTACCATCTCTCATGATTCTACCACCAGTTATTAAAAAACAAGCAAATTATTTCAAATGTGAGACATTTGCCATTAGCTAGGATGTGGTAATAACACCAATAGGCTACTTAATCACTTTTGTTTTGTCCACAGATCTCTTTATTTAGTGTAAAGAGATGTATTTATTCTTTCACTGTGACTTCAGTTTGCAACGATGCCAAGTCCACTCTTGTTTATACATTTGTTTGTGAGTTGAAAGTCCAGGGATTTTTCAGCTCAGTATTCATTCCACAGATAAACTCACAGTTGGAATTATTCTTCAAGACCTGCAGTCTGCGCATAAAAACTGTTTCCCACCAAATGAAATATTCTGATCAGGGAGTAGAGGTTGCTACGCTCAGCATTGAGAAAACTGGAAAGTCCACAGAAAGGAAGCCTTACACCATTACGTTACTTGACATCACATCATATATAATGTAATCACATCAGTCATGGGTCAAGGCAGAATAAGATATTATGACACCTGCCATGATTTGAAAGGAGAATCATTTCCGAAGGGTGTAGAAGCTCCATAAACTTGTCTGTTCTCAACCGGACAGAGTCTATCAGGAAGATATCCTGCAGGGTTTTCAGCTGTCAGTGGAAACGATCTGAGTCCTAATCATCCTCCTTCCTGGGTATGTGTGTGCAAGGGAGGTAAGCGAGTGGGAATTGTTGGCTGCCGAGAGTTGGTGCTCTGACAGGTTAAGAGTGAGAAGAGTCAAGGCGAGGGGTGAGAGCGTAGCAACTGTACAGAAAACCCTTCCACACACTGTTCACACTCAACCCGAATCTGACAGGTACGAGTGGGAAAGGCTGTCGGTTCATATAGCCCTCCTTGGGCCCCAGCCTTTGTCTGCTCTGCTTGCCACAGAACCCTGAGGGTTGCACATAAATAATGAATTCCTGTTCCCTATGGCAAGTGGTGAGGATCCCCTATATGCTGCCCACATGCCGTACCAAATATTGTCACAGTATTGTGTTTATCATGCGGCCGGTCTCTACGATTTTTTATTTGCTTTATAAGCTCAGTTTGTTTTCACGATCAGTTGTCAAACAATTGGATGAAATAGTTTTCTAATACTGGAGAGAGCTCACATTGATTCAAAAAATAGAATATCATCAAAAAATGAATTTAATTGAAGCAACATTAAATATAATTTAAATATATTTTAAAAATTCCATTATTATTAATAATTATGGCTTGCTTACTCAAACCCTAAAATTCAGTTTCTCGTAAAAATTCTTATGTAAACCAGAAAAAAAGCAGGTGATGTGAAAATTATCCAAAGGAAAGCCAAAGCCTACACCCAAAAGGAGAGTAAGCTACAAAAGGTAGTTTCTAAAAATCCTAATTGTTCAAAGTACAACAATTGAAGATTTGGTGGAAGAAAAAGTGTTGAAGTTCAAGTTAAAAGTCAAATTAAAGAACATTTACATGTAAATACATAAAATTATAGCCAGTTGGCTAAAATCCGCATCTTTAAATGACAGAATAGCTTAGCACCAAAATAAATGAAAGAGCTGTTCAGTATATCATCTCTTGAGAACAAATGTCCAGAAAACTTGCAAACAGATGAAACACTTAGTTCCTTTAAATCAAGGCTAAACCCCCCACCTGTTTAGACCTGGTTTGTTCCATAACAACTCAAGTGTATATTTGCTTAAGGATTTTGATGATGTCATATGACAAAATGTAACATGCTTCACAATTGGATTCTGTATTATGTTTTATGGTGTGAAGCATTTTGAACTGCCTTGTAGCTGAAATGTCCTATACAAATAAACTTGACAATGACTGAGGTAAACCAGAGTGAAAACATCTTTCCTAATTTTAAGGTGGACTTGAGGCATTACATTATTATACAAAGTCTTCTTTTTAAATGAATGTAAAGACTAAAGTATTCACTGTTTTCTACCTGGAGCACTTCTTTCTCTGTGACTAAGCTTTATGGAGATTCTGATTTCATTTCTCTTCCAGAAGGACATACTACTAAAAGTACCAAAACGTAATTTTACTAATATAATTCTGTGTAACTTGCCAGCAAACTCTCTCTTGCCCAAAGCCCATAGAGAAAAGATCAGTCTTTGTCAAGAGATAGATTAAACAAAACCGCAGCCAATGATATAGATAAGCTGAAGGCAGCTATTAAAGCAACCGGTGCTTTCTCAGCAGAGCCACCGGCTGATCGTCTCTGTGGCATGCTGCATTGATGCTGAACCTCATTTAAAATGAGCCCTAGCCACACATTGACTGGATGTACTGTACAGCACATGAACATACCTTTCAGCAGGTACACATTTCTGCATTTAGAGTAAATTTTCACTTGTCTTATGAGATATTCTAAATGTTCGGTGGAAATGGATTTTGGAATTTGAGCTTAAAAGGATTTGTTTCCCCAGTCCACTACATTAAAGCATTTCCTGAAAACCTCAATTTCCCACATAAAGAATGAGAGTGCAGTTAGTCATCATCCAATGAGTTGGTCTTTGTCTTCCCAACTCCAAAGAAGAATAGACAAATTGAAAATGATTGTTCAATAAAGGCTTTACTTGTGTTTGATCTGAAAATAGAATGGCCCTTTCTTTTGGTGGACTTTACACAAAAACAACACATGTGCATTTAAGTCTAATCAAATGCACAAGTAAATTCCTGCCAAATGTGAATATTCTGTAATCTAAGTTTTGTATCGTTTCATTTGCTTTACAGTAACTATGTTTGTGTTTTCTTTGAGTTCTCATCAGAAAAAACAAGATTTGAATTTTGAAACTGAACTAAATGGCTACTTCTGTTAAGAGACTCATGAGTGTTAAAATTATGTGTCTGATATACTACGAGTTTAGTCATTCTTAGAGAAAATTAGTTGTGTAAAGCGTGAACTGCAATGACTGAATGATAGATGCACTCCTGGGGGGTTTTGGGTCAACTCTGTCTTGCATTTGGCCGCTTTCCCATGAAAGTTCAATATGAGTTTTCTATTAAATTAGGATACTAATGGTGGTCTAACACAGTAACAATAGATTATCCTGTTATATGTGGCAGAGTTCACATTGACTTCAAAATTACCTCAAATGGCACAGCTATATAACTATAAATGTTTCACAAAAGATAAGAGACTTTTGACGTTTTGCTTGTTTTAAACAAAGGCAACAATATATCTCTCCAGGAACAGCACAAAAAAGAATAGCTTTTCTTGAGCTATTCCCAAATTTTTGCCAGTTGGCAAAAACATCTGGTTTCCATTTAAATGCTATATGTTGCATCTTTCAACCACAAACTAGCAACTAAAATCATTTTCACAGTGTTATTGTAATGAAGAAGTTATTATTTTTCATAAATTTCACTATTTTCAATCATTGGTAGAGTTGTGAGCATTAGAAAAAAAAAGTATTATGAGCCTATTGAAGGGAAACAAAATGTTACCCATCCCCCCATTGTGAAACACAGACTGCAGTAATAACTGAAGCAATGAAACAAAAACAGTTTTCATCAGCTGCGCTTTTAATGTATAACAACAGTAAAAAGTGAATATTTTACTTGCAAAATAGGAGTGTTTTTATGTACATTATTTATACAGTTATATATTGTTTAAAAAAATTACAGTTTAAACATGACAGTTTATTGCACAACACATTTATAAATTATCGCTGTCAAACCACACATGAAACAGATGAATTCCATCACATTTTAACACTTAACATGAAATGTTTTTTTTTTTATCTATTTTTCCATGAATCAAGGTCCTGTGAGGAGTGTAAAATCTCCTCTAAATACTGACATGGTAAAACTGGCAGCAAAAGACTGAGCGTGCTTCTTAATGAAACAGCCTTAAGCACCAAATGGTCTTCATCTAGCATCATCACAATGGGTGAAGCAATCAAAAGTAAAACCCACAATCAGAGTGATGGCCAAGCAGACTTTTCTCTCTTCATGATGGTAATTGGCTGAAAGTTTAGAAATGTGTTCTGTAGCAACACCAGCGCTGAAACTAAAGCAGCCAGGTCAAATATATGAACACTGGAAAGCAAAATGAAATTGTTGCCTTAAAAAACGTATTTGCCCCTTACAGATTTATGTTGTTTTTTACTCTTATTTTTTTTGGTAACACTTTATTTAACGGGTTGTGAATAAAACTGTCATGACGCCGTCATAAACATAACATCTGTAATGAACATGAGTAAGTCTTTCTGAACATTTATGACTGTTGACATAAAGCTGCATAATTTTTTTAAGTTTAACAAATGCACTTATTATTTTTTCAATAATGCTTTTTTATTGTAACAAGCTTTTGTTTAATTTGATTATTCGAAACAGTTAAGTGTAACATAAACGCAAACACAGAAGAAAATGTAAAGGGCAAATACGTTTTCAAGGCACTGTGGGTTGAAACACAGAAACACATTGTGACGCAACAAGCAGACTTGAAACGGATCAAAAGCTGATCCAAACACAAATTGAATTAATTAAATATTCAATCTGTTTACAAAAAATAAGCACACCTGCTTTGCACAAATCTACAGCTCCGTTTCAGCTTTTCACCCACAATTCAGTTCGACGTCAAGCTCAAGTTAGACACCATATTGGAAAAAATCAATAACGCATCAACGGCTTTATCTAACTTAATCTATTCAAGTTACTTGACAAGAGCTGCAGATGTTCTTAATATCCTGTACACCGGGTGCATTTCAAGTATTACGCTTCATGTAAACAATAACTGATGAGAAGGGAAAGGTGCGGGGTAGGATGCTATGGGCCAAATTTACGCTAATCTGATCCACGATCACGCTTAAAACGTCATTAATCATGCTTTCTGCAACAGTTCAATTCGGCCTCCACTTATCTTTGAATGGCTGAATTAGTGCACTATAGATCACTGTAAAAATGTCCTATCTCAAATGAGATCTCTTCCGTACAATGTCATGTTTTATTAATAGCTTTAACAGGAGCATTTAATTCAAATGAATCATGAGATGCAGTAAAATCCAGGAAGAGGGCCCAAAATATCTCCATATATATTAAAAATTGTAGCGTTGAGATGTCTTTGAGTCTGGGACTTTTAGGAGATTTTAGTCGCTTCAGAGTTTAGAAGTTCAGACAATCGTCACAGAGTGAAACATAACACTGCACGTCTTTTAAAAGCCCATAGCAAAGGCTTAACAACACATAGTCACACATCTCTGCTCAGAATGGCTACAAATAGCAATGTCACTCCAAGTCAGTCACATGAATAACTGTCCTTCAACTTTGACATAAAATGTACTTTGAGTTCCGTCACAACAGACGTGCCGTCCCATTAAATTGGCTCCTGTCTTTGTCGAGCTCCTCCGCTGGCTTAAGCGTTGAGTCATTCTCTTATTAAGTCCTGTTCTCTTCAGAGCTCACAGTGGTGCCTCGCTCACAGTTAGTATAAGCACCGACTACAGAGGCAAACCATTTTCCCAGTGGGTAGGAATTGGCAGTTAAATCTGCAACTGATGATGGCCTAAATCCTTTTGCTCTCTGTTTGAGTGTTTTTAGAAGCTGAATGTTTTCTTGTAGGAGTTTCTTCAGGAAAAAAAGTGACACTGGGAGTAAAAGTCTTTGCTTTGGGATGCACTGCTGTGGTTTGTGTATGTACATTTGTATTTATGTGTGTGTATGTTTACACAGTAAGTTAGATAAATCTTTCTGTGTATGCTGTATCTGTATGTGCGATTATGATCACACATGCACATATGGAAATGCTGATGTCCACATCTGAGGAGCTTATATGTTAAATATTTAATCTCCTCCGTTACACTTTGATTTGTGGTATTAAACGCTAAAGTTTGGACATACCATACGTGTATTTGTCTTGGGAATTCTTCATGTTTTGGTGTGTATATTTCAGCTTTCTGGCGACATGGCAAATATGATCTGCTCCACTTTGTATGCCAGCTTTTGCTTCTGGGCTTGTTCGTCTTGCTCCAGTGCTTCAATGATCTAGAACAGAAAACAAACAAAAAAAAAACACACAAACAGACGAGATGAAATAGCCAGGTAACCAAGGACACAATGTGTGTTGTCAGTCAGCTGAAGGAATCTGATTTGCACATGAAGGGTTTGAAATGAAATTATTTTGCAGCAGCAAATTTATTTTTACTTGGAGCTTAAATTACTTATTCCACTTTTATTTATTTGGAGTAAATACAAATGAAGAAACTTGTAAAGTCTTAGAGTTGGACTGATAAGCTGTGAATAACTTTAGGTTGTACTTTTGAGCATATCTAAGTAGGAAAACCTATAATTTAGGCACTGATTAAATTAATAATTTCATTACAGTTTATGGGATCTCATGACTGTATTTTAGGACCACATACAAATCTTCGTCTTATTGTTTCTGACTTTTACAAAAAAAAATAATAATAAGCCAGCTGCCATAATTAACTGTTACGTCATGTCTAGCGGGCAACTGGAGAGTTGGTTTTGAGATATTTAAGTTTCACATTAATTCTCTAATCAGGTTTCATCAACTTGTGATGGAAAATAATTGGCTCCTCAGATGTTAAAAGATTCAGCTTCAGTTGGTGCAGCTTTTTTTTTTCTTTCTAAATCTAAGGCTTGCTTTGACTGGAACCAACACTATAAGCGCCAAATGAGTCAGCAAGACACTAAAGGTTCCAAGTTGTAAACCCAAATTAATTACAAAAACAAAGTGATCAGAAAAAGCCGCAGAGAAACAGAATTGGGCAAAAACTCCACAGTTCCATAACAGTGAACAAAACAAAACAATCCACTCTCCATACAAAACATTTATCATATAAATCAGTTGAGCAAATCGTACTTTCAGTCAAAAAACTGCTATCTGAATATGTTGACAGGGCCTCACCTCTTGGCTGTACTTGCTGACGTAAGCGTAGATCTCATGCAGGGCACTGAGTACGTTGAACTCACTGGAGTGGAGGCGAGCCTGTTCAGCCAGATAGGCATTCATATCCTGATCACTGATGGCAGGTAGGCGGTTGATGTCAGCGTAGTACCTGAGAGGACACATACACACATGCATGGACTCAGTGTCAAGGACACAGCCATGCATACTGGAGCTTTTCTCCTCATTTGAATTCAGACTGATGTTGTGAAAATCCATAGAATTTTTAAGGATAAAGGATTATGTTCATCAGAGACGTTTGTACAGAAAAAATAAAGAAATGTGTCACTCAGAGGTTTGGACTTTTGGTTTATATAGACGATGAATTAAAAGAAAATTCCAGATAGATGCCTTACACTGTAGGAATTAGTAGCTTAGTTGATTTACCTACATTTTTAATGTTGCATTCAACTGCACCTAAAGTTTCAGAAAGACATATAAACATGATCTTGACACCAAACAGGAAATAAATAAATCTGTAGATTTAGAGAAATTCTGGTTCTGCATGTCAACATTTTATGAATGTCAACAACTGAACTTGTTTAATTTGATTACAAGCTCGAAAGTGAAACAAAGTTATTGTAAATGTAATCTAATTTACTTCATTTTTATATCGGTTCTGATATTAAGACTTACTGAAACTTGATGAGTCTGTACGAAGTATCCAAGAACAGGATGATATTTTAAAAAGTTACATTTTAGTTTATGTAAATATAAAATAATGTCAGAATGTTTTTACTGGCTGGTTTATCTGCTCTGTCTCAAAATATCTTGATAACATGAAAAGTGGGATTAGGGATTTGTAAAATGTAGTAGACCTGAAACATAAAACTTTTCTTACACGACTTACCACTTGCACATGGATATAATTGACTTTCCCTGTTTTTGAAAGTCATTTTCTTTTTTTATTTTCTTTGTCATTTCTAAGCAACAAGAATGGGAAATGGGACGTTGAGCAGCCAATAGCTTAACCTTCTTGCTAAAAGTTAATCCGTTTTACTCTAAGGAGCATGATCAAAAAATACTTTATTCTGTAAAAAGTTGAATATCGATCAATCAAATACTGCTGCTAAATTTAGCTTGTTTTCATACAATATTTTTGTTTATGTGTTTGTAGCAAAATGAAAATATCAAATAGTTTAGATAACATTATTGTACCTGTTTTAATTAATATGTTAGATCATCTGAGGAGCAGTAGAAAGAATAGTTTCTTTCCCGTTTAAAGCAAAAGCAAGTAGATTGTGTTGCACATTTGTTTAAAATTGTTGGTTACATTCATGTTACTGAAAAATTGGTAAATTTGTCCAACCTTGGACATTTCATGCTTAATTGTAACACAAATTACTTTTTTGTGTTATATTTACCTTTCCACCCAGCTCTTATAGTGTGGAATATCCTTGGCATAGAGCAGCTTGGTGGAGGGCGAATCTTTACCCAAACGATGTTCAGATGTTGAGCAAGAGTCCATAAAGGTCTGTGCCACCACTGACAGGCAGGCGTCTGTGATGCTGCTTTTATGGATGTCAAACACAAACTGGGGATTTTTGATTACATTCACCCAGAACCGCAGCGGGAGACTGGAAATATGGAAAGATATTGACAGAGTAAAATGAAAGAAATAGTGTAAACACTGCAAGACATGTTTGCAAAGAGAAATTAAATACTTGCCAAACATCAAAAGCTCCTTTTGAATCTGAGTTTAATTAATCCCATGTTGACTTTTATGCTTGACTTTAGTTATGAAAACTAGATGGATATTTGAGCTAGGGTAAAGTCCCACAGCTACAAGATATTTCCAAGAACAGCATAAAACTAGGAAAATCCTTGAAGCATGAGGTAAATAATAAATTCCTATTAAATTAGTTATTCCAAAATTATAATTAATACTATGAAGAAATGTGTAAACGAGGGACATTCACAGTGGAGGTTGGAATGTGCTCTGAAAGCAGACGTTTAGGAACAATGGATGTTTTTTTTTTTTTTTTTGTCTGAACCAAACCTAGATGGAAATCAGTAAATAATTTCTCAGATAGACTTGTTTCTAAATTTTTCAACATGTTACATGTTGTAGCCCATCAGCATTTATTAAACCATCCCTATATCAATATCTTCAAACTTGAAAAATATGCGGTGTTGTGTAGTTGTTACATTCTTGCATTTAGCCAATAATGGCTAACCTAACCCTAAACATTGAAAGAGAGTTGGTGAATATATTCTTGGCTGTTTAATAAACTTTGAATTTGTCTTAAGTGGGAAATTTTTCTCACCAGTTACTCTTCCATGTGTGGCGAACATCCATGTCATGGATGCCATGTCTGTCTGCCTGCTCATCGAGGAAGTCAAACATGTATTTGATGGCGAGAGGCAGAGCAGTGCCTCGACACACGGTGCTGAACAAAGTCTCAAACAGGTCATCCACAAACTTCTGTAACGTGCCCTGTAAAAAACATGAAGAGAAACTTAATGAAGCAGTTCAGTAGTTTTGCTTCTGCTGGTAATATGTTTGTCTTACAGAATAGGTGCGCAATAAGTTCAGATTCAGATATGGATAAGAACAACAAAGTAACAGGACACGTACTAGGAGCTGAAAAAAGGTAACCCATTCCAGTTTGCTGTTACCAAAGATACCACGCTATCACAACAGAACATGTAATTGCTGTATTGGATAACAGCAAAAAATGTTGCACAGAAAATGACTTGAAAATTGACACTGGGCTTTTGCTACTGACTATAGCATTTTTTCTTTCTTTTTTTTAAAGCAAAGGGTCTACATCCTGTTAGCTGCATGAAAGTATAGCAGGCTTAGCTGTGGCAGTATATTTAATCACAGTATTCCCAGTTATTACTATGATGACATAAGTGAAGATGAATGTATGTTTTTCTATTTTACATACCATTTTTATCTTTAAATCTACCACTGCATCAAAAGCAGGGATGCAAAATTATTTATCCACATGAGTAACTATGAATGTTGCAAAGAAAAAAAAAACTCACAGAATAAGTATGATTTGCAACAGGAGTCACTGCAGCAGAAAATGTAACGTGCCATACTAACAACTGAAATGTTTTTTTGTATCTGTAAGTAAATGTCATTTAGAAAAAACAATAAATAAAAAATCTGCATGTTCTTGCATTTCCTCTACACTAAATGACAGTTATCAGCTTCAAAATAAAAGCCTGTTATGCGGAATTCATGCAGAAACAAATCTTTAAGTGGGTTTAATATCAGCTTGGCAATTGTGGCCAAAACGTGGAGGTCCTTACAAATAAATAAGAGATTAAATCACATGTTTAGGAGAAAATGAACGTGGTATCTTTGTCTTTTGAGTGTCACCTTAGTTGCTAGGAGTCTTGTTAGGTAGATCTCAGACACCATCTTGCTTCCACGTTCGCCCTCTTTCTGGTCACCGTGGTCGTGGTTCTTGACTAAATGCCAAACTTTGACACCACTCTCCAGGTCAGGAGTGAGCATAGGCACACAGGAGTGAGGGCTGTCAGGGCTGGTGGGGGTGGAGCGGAATGGGACGTCCATACCTAGGATAGCAATATGGCAAAATATATATTCCAAAATAAAGTTAAAATAAACCAGCTAAGCAGGTGGGATATGTACTGAGACTGTATGATCGCATAAAAGCATATTTGTTAAAGAAAGTGTCCCTACCCTGTAAGTGATAACGCTAAAAAATGTTTTAAAGAAGTTTTAAAAAAAGCAAACAAAAAGAAACACAAACTAAAATTTAAGGTTTATTTACCTTTAAATAAATAAAAAATAATAATAACAGGCATATTTGACCCTTTTGGGGCATCTTACTCTTTATCAAATCTGCAAAAGTAACAGTGGTTTGTCTACCTTCAAGAAAACATGCTTCTGTGAGATGGATGAATATTAGGTATATTTGTTTCACATTGCTGACCGTATCTGCTGATACTGCGAGGGAAGCTGGCTGAGGAGGGAATGATGAAAGAGGACATCTGTTTGGGCACCAAGGCCACCACACACCGATCAGATACCTGAGAGACAAAGGTGCAGCTTCATGAAATTTTTTGCCTCGCAGATATTGGTCAAATGCAACAAGAAAAATTCAAAGGAGCATCAGTGCAATAAAACCAAGGAGCAGAATTGTTTTTAATTATTTATTTTTTGACAATTATGATTCAAAGGAGCAAATAGAATAGCCATGGATGACAATGACAATGACCACACAACATTCACAAGCTCTTGAAGCGACCAAATATTGTGTGAATGGGATACATTTTGTGGATCATGTTAAATACAGCTGCAAACATTTTATTTAATACTACGTAATACAGTATTGTCACTAATACGCAGTACTGCAGTCTGACTCAGCTGGGTGAGAAGCAATGTTTCTTCAAGTCCAGCATGAAGTACTAAAATAGGCTTTTTTCTGAATAAACCTATAAATGTTGTGCTGCGTGCTATCCTAACTTTTTTTTTCCCTTTAAGATAAATGAGTCTTGCAATAACAACACTAATATTTAACTTGTGTATGCAAGAGTTCCAGGAAATTCCTAAAATGTCTGCCAGAAAAATGCAGTTCTGCATGTGTTATGGATTTGGCTCACATCGCAAAAAAGCTTAGCAACAAGACAAACACTTCTACACCTCACATGAGTATTGAAAATGAAGGGGTTTTTTTCACCTCTTTCTGTCTTATGAGTACATAATTTTAAAACCCCTTGAAGAAACAGTTTCATTGTTTTTGTTTGTCTGAATTACAAGACATAACTTACTGAAATGTCAGCTGTGTGAAGAGGCCCAAAGGTGAGTCATACCACTGACAAGGAAGAGTAAATTGGCATACGATGTCAGTGACCTGTGTATTAACATTCAAGACCTAGGAAAAAATGGAGGCTAAAAATGACACACAAGTCCATGTTTCTTGTATGAATCAGCTGATTTACAGTACTTGTTTTGTATTGACTCAGACTGCTTAGATTCCAATGCTGCAACAGTTGCAGCTAAAATTTCTTGAGTCCCACAGCAAATTTGGTTCATTGGCAAAATGTACTGTACGAACTAGCAGCTGTGCAATACACATATTAACTAAGAACTAATATTAAGTCTGGAAATGTAAAGAATCTTAGGAAGATTATCCCTTTGCTGTTATAACCTGGTGCTAGTGTGATACATCAGCTAATCTCATTTCATCCCAGGATTTTCTGATACTTGATTGAATCCCTTAGTGTTCACATGCTGCAGATTTCAGCACCAGAAGAAGCGAAGCAGGTTCTGAGCATCACTGACCCTCAGCCATGCTTTACTGCAGGCATGTTGTTCTTTTCAGCGTACGCCTCAGTCTTCCTGGAGACATATCGCGGATCCATTGACCTGAAAAATTCTAGTTTTGATTCATTGCTCCACAGAACAAAACCCTAAGCCTCTTTGACTCATTTTTATAGTTTTGAGCAAACTGAAGCTGACTTTACTTTTGCTTTTGGGTCAGCTGTAGTATATTTCTCAGTGTTCAGACAAGGAGTCCTTCTATATTTAGTATGTGACTCCAAGTGGAAACAAAGCATCAGTAGCTGTTCCTACCAAGTCTTGTTTCAAATGTATTTGAATATATTTGAAATATCAGCTAATGATTTATCACCACCTGCCTCCTCAGAAATCTAGTGATTTGAGAGCTTCCAGTCCTGCAAAGTGCAGATAATTTACCCAAATTTCTTTAAAATTGCAACCTCGGCTTCCAATTGCATCTCAAGGAACCATTACGGTTGTTATTATCTTTTCCTTCCTTTTATAAGGCAACTTTCTGAATTTTGTTGGCAATTACCTTGGCTTGGTTTTGTCATGCAATGAAAATTACATTCAACAATTTAGTTATTTAAAGTGTTGTACCTTACGCACACCTCATGGTTGCATGAGGTGTGCACAGCTTTGTTGCATCAATTGCTTCCAGAGACAATTTTGAGATTGAAAAATTTGGAGCCGTTGAACAATTTTAAGAGCAGAAAACAAATGTCACTTGAACTGGTGCTATTGATGAGCATCCTTCACTCAATTTAGGAACTTCATAATTTCTGAAAAAGAATAATCAGAAGAAGATGACCATTTTTGTCATGTTGGTATTAATTTTATTCCCTCACCTGGTAGTGCATGAGTGTATTGAGTCTCTTCCAGTCGCCTTCTATCTTTGTTGTGATGTCTTCATCCTGCAGGACCACACGAGCTGTTCTGCCCTGCCGCCACTCTGTTGGAAAACACATTTAAAAGCAACAGATTGCTGTTATTTTGTGTAATGTTTATAGTATTTCTCACGTCTCAGACTTATGTTCCCCTTGTCTGACATGAACTGTTAGCCTGCACTATCTCTAAAGTTATATTATCTGTGTGTTATGTTTATTCTTTACAATGTGCAAGCTGTCAAGCGAAACAGGCAAAATGTCAACGAGACAGCTTCTTGTCCTTGACAATTACAAGTCAGGGGGAGTGAGAACAAAATGAAAGGACACAGTATCTTTTTTTGAGCCACCTGGAGCAATGAGACACATCCTCCCTAAATCCCTAACCTGTAAAAGCCCCTGAAGGTGTAAAGCTACATGCCCAAAGCACTATCAGGCGATACCAAGACGGTGTTTTATTTACTCTGTGTGAAGGTACATGCCACCTAAATTTGTGCCGCATCACTCAGTATCAGATGACATGCCGTGGGTGTAAGCCTTCCTGGAGTAGTTCTGTCAAAAAGGTTTAATGTCACTGTTGGGGAGTTGCTGTGATTGCAACTGCAAGCAGGTATGGGGAGGATGCAGAAACAACGGAGGAGCTGATGTCAAACATTCTCTGTAATTTGTGTTAACATGGCCACTGTCAGGTGAATCTTTGCCACTGTGACATTATTCTAACAGGTTGTTATGCAGTTGATTTTCTTTCAGAATATAATGCATGAGACAGCTACTATGATCAAAAGATTGTCTGACTCGCTCACCCAGGTCCATGTCTGTAGCTCGAGGTCGGGTGGAGTATGGCATATTTTTGTACACAGCATCCAGGATCTTTTCCTTCACCTGGGTAATTGTGTCACAGTTGAGAGCCTTGACTGGGATCTCTGGGCTGTTTTCATTGTCGGGGTTCACACAGCTCAGCGTCTGGAGATCCAGGACAGAGAGAGAGAGAGAGAGAGAAACCCAGAGAGGTAGACAGAGAGAGAGAGGTGTTGCTTGGGAGGTCCTTTCATTACCTGCTCTTCACCAAGATGTCCTGGTGGAGAGCATCTTGGCTTGAAATGTAATTTCACACCTCCAGGATGTGACTGTGCAGCTCTGGCAGCAGCATTAAACACGTAATGAGACAGAGCCTCTCACACTCTCCGACACGGCGATCAGAGAGGTGTCATCTTGTCGCCGGCTGGCTCTGCTCTGCAGCTGAAGCCAGTGGGAAAACGGATTCTGATGGGCTGCTGGAGGATCCCAGCCAGCTCCATTTGAATAGAAATGTAAAGGACATAGACGTGTGGTTGGCCCAAACGCTTGACTATAGTGATTAGGACAGACAAAATTAGCAATTTGGCAGTCTCTGCTCCTAATTATATTTAACAGTTTGAAGGTAAAAAGCTGCCTTTTTGATTTTTCATTCACGTGTGTGGACGAGTGAAACGAGGAAAAGCCTGTATGCAGGATGAAAACGGGGTATTAAGAGGCTCTGTTGTCCTGCTGTGGGCATTCTGCTGGTGTGGTTGGTTGTTTTCTCTGAGAGGAACATGATTTATGCAGATCAATGTCCCTCTGATTGATAATCCTCATTTCAAATTAGTCGTGCCAACATCCTCATCTGTAGGACACAAATGCATTCATATGCCAATTTGATTTTATTCTGTATCCCCTTGACATATTACATTGCCTGTCACATTGTTTCGTTTCCCTGCTAAAGAATCAAACAAAAACATGGCTATAGAAAGTCCATATGTTTTTGAAATGGCCATAGGATATGTTTTGTGTCAGGTGAACCATCTTCATATTAATTTAGTCATGTTTTTTTCAGATGATTATCCTTCTGAAATATACATTTTTAATTTTTGGATGAATTTTATTCAAGATTTCCTAGTATTTTATAAAGGGAGCTTTACGTCTTTGAAGGGAAGTAGGCTCAAAGAAAAAATGATTCTTCACCATAACTAACAATTCTCTTGAAGTGTTTTTCACTGTGTTAGTTTTCCTATGTTTAACACACATCCATCTGGAACGTTTCCTGATGAAAAGCTAATTCTTTGTCTTATCTGACCAAAAGGAAATGGTTCCAGGCAAAAACTCATCAGGGCTGCATAAACTCCACATATTTATGTTTGTGAGGACTGAATAGGATTTTTCTTGGCAAGTCTGGTTGGCATATTGATAGTATGTTATGGAGACTTGGTCATCCCAAGAGAAAATCTTAGCAGCATTTATCCAACAGACAACTTTGGACGTTTCTCTTCCATCCCTAGCCACTTTCCTTTGTAAAAGATAACCTTGAGCTTCATCATTTTGGTTTTGACTGTAGAAATGGAACATTTTATACAAACAGGTTTTTTCTTGTAGACATTTCAGGAATTTTAAACATAAACATACGTTTTTCAATTAAATTACATGTTTTGCTGTGTTACACATTTTGAACAAGGAAAAGTGTGAGACTCACGCCTTATTTATAATTGAAAAACAGGAATTTGTGGTTTACAGTTTAAAGTTTAGTGATCCGCTTGTGTTCAAGTTTAAGGAATGGCTTTTCTTTAAATTTTTTCTGGGTAATGTTTTGAAAGAACAATCAAGGGCAGATTTAATTTAAGGTGTTTTAGAGAAGAAAATAATTGTGGAGTGCTTCATGATTCCAGTCAGTCGCTCTCAGTTTGGTGAAATGACTTCCCTTTGTATATAATAAAAGTTTGCTTATGAAGATTAGAGTTCAGTTCATTCATCTTTCAGCTTGAAGAAAACATCAGAATGTATGTTTAGACTCTGGATGCTCATAAAGCCCCAAACATTGTGCTTTGCATCCAAGTGCTTTCCATATTTTTTTCTTTCTGGAGACATTTTCATTTAAAACTGCGTATGAAACTGTCAAGGTTCTTTTCCAATAGCACAACATATTAATACACACTAAATAGAGGACTTTTTTTCCTTTATGAATGCCTTTCTGACTCACCAGCATTTTGTATTCAATCTGCTGCCGGATGAGTTTGTCTTCACTGAGGGAATAGCGTGCCTCCCCTGTGATGGAGTCTATGGGTCCCTTCTCCATTTGCTGTTTGATGGCACAAAACAGCATGAACAGAGGCTCCCCAGCGCACTCCTTTGTTTTGGAAGAAAACCAAGCAATTGGATTGAAAAAAGGGAGAAAGAAGGGATGAGAAAAAAACAGATTTCTTTGTGTCGGTAGATGAGACGTGACCTGCTAATGTGAACATTATGAATCAGGAAAACTATAGAGACGTTCGACCTCACTGGTAAGATAACCCTTTGATAGTGTGGAAAAGCACATCAATATCAGGCATTTATAAACTCAGCCACCACAAGAATTTAGAGGAGTCTATTTAAGAAAAAAATCAATACAAAACATTTTAAGGAGCCTGTAGTACATCACAGTGATACCTGTAGCAAAAAGAACAGAGAATGACTTCGTTTTACCTTGAGAAATTTGTGAAGCAAGAAGGCAAACCAATTTGTCAGCATCTTCTCTGCCACTGACTCTGTTCTGCAAGACGAGAAAGCGCCACACACATTCATTATCAGGAGGCGTCCCGCAGAGAGTTGGAGTGCACTGATTATTTTTTCATTATTTTAAGACTGCCAGTGTTGTGACTACAAGGCCTAGAAAGAACAGTTTAAGAAATTTGCACTTGGCCGTTTAGCCTCAGTGGACACACACTTCACTGTAATATCAGGTAAGTGCTGCCAGTGCACAGCACTTATAGGTTATGACATAATTGTCCAGATTAAATGGCTACTTTAGATATTTCACACTATTTTCTAGTGTCTATACTTAGCTACTTTACATGAGTTCAGATTGAAAGATGTCTTGATTTTCAGACACTGGAAAAAAAGCTAGAAACTATATTTTTCCATCAATACCAGGTTTGAAGCTTGCTTCATTACAGCCACACTTTTTGTTTTATGTTTTTCTCCACAACCTTTTGGTCCTTACCTGTATTACGACCTTAACCTGCAGTGACGCAACTGTCGATGAAACCCTGTTCAACTTTTTGAGTGTGTACAGAAGATTAATAGCTTTGGACAAACAGCTTCTTCTACTGGCTCCTATTTGAACTTAGCCTTACATATAATGAGTGTCAGAACACAAGTTTTCTCCCCACAAAAGTCTCATGAAACATTCAGCAGGCTGGTGTCAGCACAGCGAAAAAAAAAAAAAAAAGGAAAAGGAAAAAAAAAACAATCGCCAGATAACTCGAGGTGGAGGGAAGACGGAAAGAGGCGAGAGAAAGGAGAAGAGGAGAGGTGACGGGAGAAGAAACGTGAGCTACAGTTGAATGTTTCATGAGGGGCATACAGAAGATAAGTCAGACTGACAACAGCTCTGCTACAACTGCACTCACTCTTCCCCATTAGGGTCTCTTCCTCAGCCAGTCCCTCCCACTCTCTATCACTTTTAACACTCCTGTCTTTCACCTGTCTGCTCAGTCACCCTGTGCCTCAGACTTGCAACCAGTGTTTCACACGGCTGCACAAAACGAAGCTGCAGAGAGGTGGGCTTCCCTTCACTGGCCTAGTTACTCAACCATTAGAAGGGTGGTAACTGGGCTGGAAAGAACAATGCACTGAGGAATTAGCTATGCTAAAAGATAAGCAGCGCTGATCAGGACAGGTTGGCTTTCTGTCGGGAAGGTTTTCTAGTCACTGCAGCGAAGCATTCATGCAATTCTACCAGGAAAGAACACAATCCACGTGAGCTTTCTTTCATATTTCTCTTTGCATTTTTGCAAATAGACATGTGATTTCTTTGACTAAAGTGAGAACAAATTACATAAATAATAAACTGCAACTTACAAAGAAAAAGGGATTCATTTTTCTGCATATGCATGAATGAACTTTAACCAACACCTCTGGAGGTCAGTCCAAACCAGCACAAAGTACTATTTATTCTGTCAAAGAAGGTTTTTATTCATGTCATTGGCAAACATGGATTTCAAAACATTATAAGTGTATGAGCTGGTAGCTGCACTACCAAGCATTTATGTAAACATCTTACACAACATGTAAATATTTATTTTAGATTGGACTGGATAAAAGCTTTCATAAACGGCTGATATTATTTTAAATCAAGAGAGCTTTAAAATAATTCATACCTAATGGTACATTTAAATGCTCATTATTAATTGGGTTGGTCTTGGAATCCATTTTACTTCAATGACAGGATTACATATTTTGAAATACAAACTTATGTAAATGCCCTCGTTAGAGCTGGAGTGATAGAATGTTGTACTGTTAGGAGCTTAGATTAGGCTTTTTAAGGGAATCATTTTTAAGTTGTAAAGGTAGGCTAGTCTTCAGTTTTCCTCAGTCAGTTCCCCTAAACATACACTTGATGAGTCAATCAACTATCTCCTGACTCATCTACCCTGAATTGATGTTTTTCAAGGAACACAGCCAAGTTTTCCAGTTCGGCTGTGTTAAATGTATTTATTAGCCTTTTATGAGTTGCTTTGTCTGACCTCTGTGCAATGTTAAGTTTAATTTGAGTAATTTTTACATTTTTATAACAAATTAAGGATTGAGTAGATATTGGTTAAGAGATAAATAATTTGATTGCTGAATTTTCTGGCTTGCAGCTCTTATTAATTTTTACATTTCAAATTAAAATATTAATGGTGAAGTAGCAGATTTTCAATAAATGTATTGTGGAGAATACCCAGACTCTTCCTGATTCATTTTACTGTAATAGAAATAGCTCAATGATTTGTGAACAAAGCATCTTGATTTAAGACAAAATAATACCTGCGGAGGAGCAATTTGGGGTGGTTCTTGCTCTCCAAGTTGCGCTCTATAAGGTCGGAGAGCAGGTGTTTGAGGATGTCTGTGGCATACTCCAGCCGTCCTTGCAGGGAGGTCATGATGAGTGAAGCGACATAGCCACGGTCTCGCATGGAGAAGGAGCGCTGCGTCTCCAGTGTGTGGATGAATGTCAGCAGGAAAACCTTGTTATTCACCAGCTGAGCAAATTGCTTCAAGGCTTTCTCCACATTCGCCTGTCCACTCCCAGGAACCTGCATGCATCACGCACAGTTGCACACACACAAAGATGCGTGCACTTATTAAACAGCACTTGCAGAAGGATGAGTCACAATGTATGAAAAACAAAAGGAAATTGACACGACAGTTCTCACAGACCACCTCCAAAGGCAAAGTGCAAACCAGAGCAACTCATGTGTCTGCAGCCTTTGCACTATGTGCTAATCTTGGACTCATCTGTCCTTCCCTTGAAAAGAAGGGTCATATTTTTTCTTTCGACATGCATAAATTCGAATTTTTACACTAATTAAGGGGCTTCGCTTTAAACAAAATGACACGCAATCAGTGAGTTCTTCAAGAGTACATGTCATTGTGAACGTAATATTGGCTGATTAAGGCAATTGTAATTTAAGCAACTTACTAATTTTGACCTTGTGGAAGTTTTCCCGCAAAAATATTAAGTGGCATTTGATTTGTCATCAGGGTTTATTCAAAAATGGATATCAAGTGCATTCAAATTAAACCCCTGAGATGTTGACAGCAATAAAAAGTAACATTTTTCAACACATCACCATGACTACAGACATGCAGGGTGGCAGAAAATATTTAAGATGTTGTACAAAATGATCTAAAACTTTTATTATGTTGATTTGTATTGAAGGCAAAAGGTCAACATATTATAGTTGCATGCCAGAGCTGGCACAGTGCTCTAAAGTCTCCTCACCTCCAGCTCCCTCAGTACTGGATGATCATCAATCCCAGGAAACAGAACCCTCATTGCATAAGTCCGATAGTCCAGGAAGGGGATGCCAGCTCTATCCAGATCGCTGGTTAACTCATTAATATCCGTCTGTAGCTCAGCAAAAGCTGCACATGACAGATCACAAAAGTGTTAAAAAAATCTGCAATAATTTCAGAAGAAGTTGCTCTAATTCAAAGATCCAGCATGCACAATGGGTGAACACCAGTAGTTTCAACTGTGGCTTGCAAATAACTGAACATTCTCCACTATTACTATTGCCTTCTATGATACCGTACTTTCAGAAGTTTTTACAATGATGCTACCTTCAGAATATTGAAACATTTCTGGTGCAATGGAGGAATTGCAAATAGAAATTTAGTTAGGGAACTGATCAAATCAACCTTTCCAAAAAAGGCTCACCCTCTTTACACTCCAGAGCTACTCTGGATTCCAGATTGTCCATCTGCATCTGCAGGCGCTTCAGAGTGAGATCATTCTCATGAGACTTTCGTCTGTAGGCGAGCAGGACGATGACGACGATGATGAGGAGCAATCCTCCACCAGCCGCGATGCTGAGAATAGCTGGCATGGTGAGCAAGCTGTCCGATCGGATGTGAACTTCTCCAGGAGAGATATGCAGTCCACCTACCTGCACCTGGGTAATAATAATGCAAAATAACAACTTTTAAAGCAGTGCTAAAAAAATGAAAGAAGATTTTTAAATGACGAGTCAAACTGTAGTTTAGTTTTTCAGCAATCAAATGATAATCTTTTCAAAAAGCATTCCAAACAGTTTTCAGTTCTTGTACATCCTTATCAGCAAGCTGACATCTCTATATTAGTGACTTTTTAAAATATATATATTTTACACATATATTTTGTTTGTGATGTAATCAAAATGAACATGAAAAAACGACACATTATGTGTATAATGAAGATATGAGCTAATTTATTAAAATGAGCTATTTTAATAAATTAGTTGCGTGACATTCTAACTAATTGAAGTGCACCTGGATAGTAGAAAATGGTCTTGTCATGTTTTTGTTTGTCCTTTTTTTAAAGGGCAGAACAGCTTGCTATTCTCTTTTCAGCTTTTTTGTCATTATTTGCTCATTTGTCAATAATTCCAGAGGACAATGTGCTGTAATGGGAAACCTACCAGACCATGAGTGACAGACAATGACAGAAAGCCAGCAACTAACTGAAAGCCAGCCGTTGACCCAAAAACAAAGTGACGTAAAGAAGACCACTGACCTACAGACAGCAGCCCGCATTCAGGCATGCAGACAAACAGAAAAATAAAAATAAAATGGACGGATAAGGATGACATTAAGACTCACCAAGACTTTATGTTGCCCGGTGAGGTTTGGTGGCTCGCAGAGTAACTGAGTGTCTGACACAGTAAGAGAACAGGGGGTATCTCCGATCAGCACGGTGTAATTCAACCTGGCTCCACCGGAGGCAGATGGCACCAGGTTACGGCCCTGTTAAAATAAAGACTCAATCAACACTCTATCGCAATTATTTGAAACATTTTGTATTTCAAGAACTACTTTTGATGGAATTTTTTAACAACGAGGCTATTTTGATCAAAGTTAATTTCCTTTTTAGAATCGAGAAGTATGTTCACTAAGTGACATAGTTGTACAGTGACTATTTACCTTTACTTGAGTAATATTTAGGAAATTTTTATTTTCAGGATTAGGCTTCCTACGCCATAATTTTTTACATTTAGTTATGTAAAATTACTTTGAATTACTCTTTCTGGATACTCTAGCCACTGTGCGTAACTTCACTCAGAGTGAAGAACAAGCTTTTTTTAACCGAAACTGTGTCACTCACAAACACACACCAGCATAATTAAAGCTTCATTGAATTGATCTAGAGGACACTAGCACCCACATTTTAAATTGTAAACTGACAGAGTCCAAATGTGCAGGGAAGATTAGCTTGCTTAGACTTAGACTCGTATTCTATGCTGTTCCTTCAGCCCAAGCAGAGCTAACAATTGCTAAAAGTCTATTAAAAGTGTGAAAAACACAAATCGGATGGAAATTTCTGGCAAAAAATATAGAATTAGTCTTGCATATGTACCTGGAATCACTGCATCACAGAAAATATGTTGTTTTATATTGACTTACTTTGAGAATGATGGGAGCGCCAGGTTTTTGCTCCAGAACACCTGAGAGGCTAAGGGGCTCCAGGTAAGGATTTGGGTAGTAGACAAATCCTGTGTTGTTGTATGTGAGAAGAGCTTGGACGTTGTTGAAGACAAAGCCAAACTCGTCCACATGTTTTATCGTCTCCTGGTCGGCGGTGTAATCCGCCTTCAGAGAAGGGGCGAAGCAGCTGATGGTTGTTGTGTTCAGAACTTTGCAAACCTGCAGAAGGATGAAATCTAGGTTTCCATCTTAAACTCTCCACAACATATCAACCCAATCTAGAATGTGTGTTATAGAAACTAGTCATTCGCTGGAATGACCTTACATCTACTAGCTGAGCTGCCCCAGGTCATTTCAAAATGTCATCGCTGGGCCTTGATAAACAACTTCATATCCTCACCGACAGGATCCCGAGGTCAAAAAACATGATTAGTATAATGCCTCAGGGGTTGATATGCTCAGGTACGAAGGCTGAAGCGCCTGGTAAAAATGCATTAGAATTTCATCTGATGTTGCTGTTTGTAAAATTCAGCAAGTTTTGAAATAAACTTACTGGATTAAACATTTTTAGCTGTAAGTTTTGTAAATGATTGTGTCAGTCGATGTGAAACTGATTTTGTGAAAGGTGAAAAATATTTGAATCTTAAGACAACTGATAAGCTTAATGTGTGAAGTCCTATCATTCTTTGAGGAACTCAGAGGATTTGCGGATGCCTAAAAAAAGATTTTAGGCACCTAGTGAGACACCTGTGCCAAAGGTCAACAGCACCTTCTCATCTGTTATTGCCTTTGAAGATCATAATGTTACATTAAATTTTCTGACTTTCTAACTGGGTTTATATAAATTTCAGGTTCCATGGGACAAATGGTTCAAAGCTATTTAAGTGTTTTTCTTTTATTGTACACATTTTGAAGCTTTCAAAGTTATGCTTTCAAGAGGTATGCAAAAAAGAGGCAATCAACATTTTTTTTCTCCCAGTGGCTATTTTCTGCAGCTTATTTGGTTAAAAGTTCAGCTTTAATCCCTTTATATCTCCGTTTTGCCAATGACACAACAGAACATGGAATTTTAATTGACTGGCTAAAATTCTGGGCTGGCATCAATACCACACCACTTAATTAGCTCAGGGCATATCTCTAACACACATTTTCTGCATACTGGCAAGACAAAAAAAAAATCTTTTTGACTCGCACATCACCGCCAGCTCCAACATTCTTGTTTTGAAATTATTTTTAAAAAAAGAAAATACTTCCATAGTTGTTTTTCTGGCAGTCTCATCAGGTACTTGTTCTAGTATTGATTTTGAGTTTTTCGCCTTCAGAGTTCTCTGGTAAATCCCTGAGTGGTCAAAAACTACAAGGTGAAGGTGCCTGAAATTTTGCCATCAGGACTGCAACAGTATAAAAACAATCAATCACTTTGAGCAGCTCAGACAAGCAATCTTAACACTATATATAACCTTCCAAAACTTCATTTTTCCAAGTCAGTTTTCAAAATTGACATTTATGTGGACAGCTCCAATCTCTGACTCTTTTTAGATGTCTTTTGCTATGTTTGATCTTATTTTTTGCAAGGTCTCTGCTTTGTAACAGAGCAACATGCCATCAAAAACAACAAACCAGTTAAATTCAGTTAAATTAACAACAGGGAATTTCAAATATATTCATATACTTTGAAATTAATTATGGAAATAGCAGCACAAAACTGTCAAGAGAACCTTTTAATAACAGAAATCTGGAAAATGACTTTACTATGATACCCATGACAAATTCCACATCTGCAAATTGACTTCAGAGGTAATTAGAAACCAGAATCTTTATGTGTGCAATTGAATAAAAGCAGCCAAAACGCCCAATGGTAACATTTGAGACACAAGATAGATCAACACCCCAGGTTGAAAAAGTTGATAAGAAAATAATCTGAGCTAGATAAAATAAATAAATAAAAAACACTTCAGAGATCACAACTGAATGATTTATGGCCCAGTCAAAGTTCCTGCCAAACTACTGCAGTGTCTGTAGCTGGACTTGCTGTTCACAGATGCTCTCTATTCAGTCCGCCTGAGATTGAATTATGTCACAAAAAAAAAAAAAATACAAAATGTTCAGTCAAGGTGCGCAAAGCTAGTAGAGCCATGCTGCTGGAGAATAAAAGCTCATTCTATAAAGTATTCAATCAGTAGCGATGAATATTCAGACTTTGTACATCATACATATGCACTATTTATGTTGATCTATTATATATAATTCTGATAAAACATGTTGAAGCTTTTGATTGTAACACACAAAAGTATGAAAATGTAAAAGGACCATGAGTGTTTATGCAAATCTACTGTGCATTTGTGTTGATGCAACATGAATTTTTATAGATGCGGTGTGCTAGAAGTTGTATTACTTACATTCACAGATTCATGGCCAGCATATTTGACTCGAACCCGAGGTTCTTGAACCACATCCAGGTTGGTCCCAGTCACCGTCAGGGTGGTGTGCCCGCTGTTTGGATGAAAGACATGCAGTTAAAGCACTCTGCACAAGATATGAGCTGCTGCCTATTTCTTCATGTGTTGCTTCAAAGGAAAACGAAATTCTTGTAATTTTGTCAGAGTGCTCTTTTGCTGGAGCTGTCCAGGCTTTCTGAAGGTCTTCTGCATTTTTTTTCTTTGAACATTGTTGAATTTTTCATTTCATTTCAGTCTTGTCCTTGTACCTTACCATTTTGAGAGTACTTTTGTATTTGGTCATACCACTCAATGTAGACCTACAAATCCTTCAAAGAAAAGGAATGAAATGTAAGAGATGACCCAACGCTTACAGAACCCACAAAAACCCATTTTAAATTGCACCAGTTGGCACTTTGAAAACAGCTGTCAGGGACAGAATGTTCCAATTTCTTCAGATGCACCTGCAAAACTTACTAAAGTTAACAGAGTTTTACAGGAATAAAACACTACTTTTTAATCAAGAAAGTGATTTATGAAAAGCTATTAAATGATAACCTGGCATATAGTAAATGAACAAACTGAAGAGGTAGTTCTTTTTACAAAGAAATTCCATCCTTAAGATTCAACATTTTCAACACAAAATATTTAAACTATCTTGAGCATGAAAAAATGTTCATGCTTAAATTTGTATTTTCTCCCCAGGATACTTGCAAGTACAAGCAGAAACACCAATTACGCTCCAAATGGTCAAGTAATAGACTGAAAAAAAACAAAAACATGTTCATTAAATAATTTAGTTTCAAGACCTTCAAAAAGCCAGAAAACACCTACTTTACCTTAGGACATGTTCAAAACACATGAAACCCGGTTACTTGGAAGCAAAACGTTAAAAAAACAAGATTGGGGAGGTTTTTACACACCACTGAATGTCAAAGGAATTATTGCTTAAACATGTATGCATACACCAAACTCCAGGTAGCCTCCACATGAACACAAGCTGCATTTTCCTCAGTGATTTGATTAGAGCGGCAACCACAGAGAGACCAATCTTTTTCATCAACATTTCCCAGATAATTTCCATAAATGCATGTTTGAGGAGGTATAGCTGGTAGCTCGCCCTTTGTTATTGGGCAGAAAAAGAAGATCAAACGGAGAACCAGCTGGCTGCTATTTTATATTCAGCATCGAGTGTGAGACTGGCATAGCATGAATACAGGTGCTACTTGTTTACATATCTGAGTTGGATTGGATTAAATTAAAAAACTACGCTCTAATCTTTGCACAACATGTGCTGCAGTGCAAACTTAGAAAACATTTGGAACTGGAGTGTACACAAGGTGAAAAAGATGGATAAATACACGTAGAAAAATTGGACAAAATGCTGTTAAACCATCCAGCATGGTGAAACTAACTGAGTGCCAGCCCTTCTCTTGTCACACTTCAAAGGCCACCTAAGCTTGTAGGGCCTCATAGTGGGAATGCACATTATGATGAGAGCTCTTGATTGCAGCGCCACAAAGCTCTTCCTGTCACCAGGATATGGGCCAGGGTGACTCTCTGAAGCCTAATCTGCAGTTACGTAGTGCTGCGTAATTCCACCCAAACCCAAATTAAGTACCATTTACTGTTGGTCCTATGAAGGCAATAAAATTTTCATTTGTGTTAGAAATGTTTGTCTGGAAGAATTTTACATTTGTTTTTTCCTGTTTGCTGCTTTTGTCTGTCCGTCCATTACCAAAGTCAAAAGTTGCTTATCATCTACTATAATTCCAACTTCCACACATCTTTGTTAAACTTTGTTCAAGTCTTGTACCGTAGTTTTGATCAGGGTCAAAGTAACTTAAAAATCCCCTTGATTGTTGCTACAATCAAACTGAAACAGTGTATTTATCACTGTTTCAGGAATGTTGACAGCATTTAAAGGTTTAAAGGCTTTATCATTCTTTCAAACTGATCTGTTCTGCTTGGACTATGGGTGATGATTTTGAGTTGTTGAATTCTTGATGCCTGTTGGACACAAAAAAGGCACCAAGTGGCAAGATTTTACCTTTTTCCAAAATAATTGATGTATATAATAAAATATACTACTCTATTCCTTTATGGTCACTTGAAGAAATACTGCATCTCCCCAAAATTACAAAACAGATTAATAAAAAATCACTGCAATAAGACATCAAAACAGTAGCAATGAAGATTTATTTTGAATTGTTGTCATTATAGAACAATTAGGGACGGGGGGAAACAATTGAAACCAACCTGGGCTCATGCTAAAGCTAACTGCTTCCCTTGTTAAATTAAAACTTAATTTTGATCAACTACATATTTTGCAACGCTAGGTTAAATTTGACTAGCCAGACTGCCAGACATCTTTGACAACATGAGTCAGGCTAAAAGATTTTTGAAAGCAGAACATTATTATAACGTTCTATAACCAATAAAAGACCAAGTCATAGGAAGAATTTTAAATTCTCTAGATTAACAAGAAAAAAGTGGTGTGCAACGAGTTACACATGGCGTATATCTAACAGGATTACAGAAAAAGAAACATCATCTTGACAATGAAACATGATGGAGAAAATATGATGGTTTGGGGTTGATTTGCTGCTTTAGGAAACTCAGACATCTTGCTGTAAATCATAAAAATTTCATCTCTGGCAGAAAACCTGGAGGTAGAATACACAACAACAATATTTTGTGTGTAAATAATGTATTCTGGAATGATGAGTGATCAAAGATTCTAAACACCAAATTTGTTTCAATGGATAATCAGTTCAAAATGATTCAGATCAGCATCAACAAAAAGGCTTAATTAGAACCTTTCAGCTCATTGGATGTTTTTCTCCTTACAATCCGAAGAAATCTTGAGGCCTACTCTAACAATAATCAGAAGCATTTTGTCTGAGCACTGGAACTCTATATCATTCCCAGAGAAAATCTCAGATCAATCAAAATGCAGTAGCTGAAGCACTTACAGGAACTAGCATGGGAGAACATAGCTTTTCAATACTGGAAGCTCTTTGTGGGTTTTCAGTGAAATTCAGAACTGACTTTAAAATTCTTCTCACTAACATAAAGATCAATACTAGAGCCCCACAGTATCTTACAGATCTCCCATTCCTATAATGTACTAAGCAGGCCCTTCGTTCTCAGAATGAAGGTTTACTTATGAGTTCTCAGGACAAGAACACGCTGCAGAGCCTTCAGCTATCAGTCTGGGAATCAGCTAAACAACTTTAAGTCAATGGAGACATTTTCTTTTTCTTTTCTATTATGCATACATATTTTCTGTGGTTATAAATTATAGATGGATAATTTCATACTAACATTTTACTATAATATTCTACTGTAACACTTTTAAGTGCTCTTCAACATAAAATCAATCAAATATTTTATTTATTATTTTTATTTCTCTGTCTGCCTATTGTTTTTTTTATTATTATGGCCTTTGAATTGCAAAACGCTTATGTTTACTTTTCACCATGAAATCATGTATTGTTTTTTTTTTTTATAAATGAATTTATTATTGTTCCCATCTGATTAATATAATTATTTGAAATAAATATTTCACTTTTGTAACATGTATATTTTTGTAGACAGTGCATAAAATTGTGCAACAGTTCATTCATTTCTGTTGTGTGAAACCCTTTGATGCTGATAGAAAGGGACAAGGTAAATACATAAATAAAAATTGATTAGGGTGGTTATCAGTCGACGTCACGCTGCATCAGCACCTATTGTACTGTGCATGTCGCCTGCAGAAAGAAAGCAAATTCAGCTAATAAAATTATTTACACGTCACCAGTTCAGTTCACATCTCTTTGCATGCTGCAACTTCTGCACAGAACTTTGCGGCATCTACATATGTCCAAGTTATTTTGTTTTTAGTGAAGCGTCTTTGTACCTCATACTACCTCCTGTTCAAACTGCTGCACTTTTGGTTTCCAATGGTTTACTTCATCGCCTGCCTTGATGACTGCCGCTGTCTGGTCATTTTTCTCTAATTGTGACCAAAGTAAGAAAAAAATTATTGTTTTTAATTTGTCCTTTGCATGCTAAATATGAAATCTGTTTTTGTAATAAAAATTTGCAGGTTTAGGTAAACCGTATTCAGGCACCCTTGTTCACCGTGGATACGTTTGTTTTATATAGAGGGACCCAACGCAGCTTATTGAGAGCTGATGATTTAACCGTGAACAAAATTGCTTTAATATTCTTAGTATTCATGGAAGTTTGGGCCATTTGTTCTTGTCATTTATCCACTCCCCTGTATGTAACACATATGGGTTATTAACACATATTTCATTCACTAACTTCAATTTCATAGCATAACTTCACTGACCATGATTTGATAAACTGTTGTAGTAGACTGACAACATGTTAGCTAATGTTGAAACCATAGACATAAATATGTAGACGCTTCATTCATGTCTATGGCTAATGCAGAAATACAACGGCAGGTAACCGTAATATCTAATGAAAGTTTAAAGGCAGGCTGGCTTTTTTGCAGTCAAGTTGCGCATTCCTCTGATGTGTTTACAAACAAAAAAATTCCTCTATAGTACATAAGCAGTAGTTAAACAGCTCTGAATAATTCACTTTAAAATAACATCTAACTTGACCTGTACAGATGACTTCATTAAGTGTCAATGTTAGAGAAAGCAAAGTTCCCAGTGTGGTACCTCACAATGCTCCACAGTGGTTCAATGCGTTGGACTGTGGGATCTTCAATGTAGTCAAAGGTCAGACTTCCAGGAGCCTTGGCCCGGTCAACACTCAAACTGACTTGAACTGGTCCCGCACCCGTCAGTGATGGAGCCGCAAAGCACACAATCTCTGACATGCTCCTCCTGGTGGGAGAACCAAAAGAGAGAATTATTCATGCTTTCGATTGTGTCTGCCCCTCTCACTGCTGCAGAGGCAAATCCCTGACTCCATACAGTTATGAGCCACGCATGAAGGGAGAGGATTCATTATAGCCTGTCCCATCTCCTGCTTGTTACAGTCATATTGGGGATGGGAACTATAATTAGAGGGTGCTCTTGCTAATGGCTTTTTTGCTTCATCTACCTGACTGCTACAATGTGCAAAATTTTAACTTAAAATAGATTTCTATAAATACATGGAGAAAGAAATATCTTATGCGAGTTTCATCATTTCCTCACCAGTCATTACTTATTCCTAATTTAACATGCAAGCACACACTTGTATTTAATGTGCACGTTTCTGAATAAATTGACTCATCCTGCGTTTGATTAAAACAAGAGAAGGCTAATTCGTTAATACTGTGCAGAGGCAAGCCTACTCAAGTGCCTCTCCATCTGGGCTCCAATAGAAAGAAAGATTACCATAACATCAGGGGATCATATTATCATTAGGCTCACCTGTACAGTTCGCAGGTTTGATTTCCAAAGTACACAGTGACAGTGCTTCCTGCGCTCAGATTCTCTCCAACAATGGTAACCTTAGTACCCCCAGACTCAGGTCCTCTGCCTGGGGTCAGAGCCAAAATGGTGGGTATCTATGGACAAACAAAATATATTAATATTTAGGGCAAAAGATGGAATCTCAAAAAATCTTTTTGCTTTGGACTTTGTCTTTTTCACTATTTTCAGCTTTATAAGAAAAACGACTAAACCCGAATAGTTGAATTATGTATAAAGCTGCCTTTTTGCAGACAACAAAATATATTGTTAGAATATAAATATAAAATAAATATATAATGAATTATACATTTCCACTGTGAAAACGCTGCTTGATATCTATTAAATCCACAAATCAAGCTGACTTGCTTTCAAGTGACATCTGCAGTCACAAGCAAGATGTTCAGATGAGCCTGTTTATGATTTCTGTTAACATTTCAAGAAATTTTTTAACTTAATAAGTGAACCTGAACTGGATGTTTTTGCAGTTTTCTTAGCTGGCAGAAAACAGTGTTTTATGCTCCAGGGCTTGAAATTCAGAGACTTTGCAAACAAACTTTCTGCTTTTGTAGACAGAGTTACCAATATTGTTTCCTCTGGTCCAGGATTCTTGTGTCTTCTATGTGTGTGAAGCACAAATAGTGTTATGCACACACGACAACAAAAAATGCAATCTCTTCATTTTTGTCCCGATTAATTTAAAGCATTACAACCTTACAATGATTTCATAGTAGTTCGGTAGTCTTCATATACTGTGATTTTGTCCCAAGTTTTAAGGATCTCACAGAATACGGTATTGTTTAAGACGTAATTTGAAAAAAGACAAAATATAGTTCAATTCTGGATTCTTTTTGCAGCCAGCCACGATTTTAAGAATCAGCTTTTGCTGCAGTATTGCAGGTATTCTGGGGAATGTCTGTACTTTTCTAATTAAGAGAACTGCAAGATTTTAGCTGGATTTTATTTCAGGATATTAGAATATAAAGAGCTAAATGCAAATTAAGAACACACTTTTCAGGTTTTATATGAAATGAATTTAGAAATCTGGGTATCTTTTTCTGTCACAGTTGTACTTTGCCTCCCATTGGCTGATAGAAATTCTTGACCCAAAAGGATTAAATGATAAAATGAATCTAGAAACAGATTAATTATTTTCATTAAATATCACAATTGTGTACAACTTTGTTTGTTTACAGCAAAGCCTCCAGAAAGGAGGGTGCACATGCTGTGCAATGATGCAATAAATATTTTAATTACTACATAATGTCATGCTTTAACAGTCATCTCTTTTGAAAGACATTACCTGACAAAAATTGGAAAAAAGGAAAAAAGCGACCTCTTTTTGGGGCTTAACATTTAGTCGAAAATTATTCACAATTTATTTATTTATTTTCTTTCCTGTGTGTGATCTTTAATGTAGCCTAAATATTAGCAGTGTATTCTCAATGCACAGGATTACAAAAAAGGTTTTAGTCAGAACAAACTGACAAGTCTCTCTCTCTCTTTTTGTGAATTACCACAAATGTGTAGATCTGTGAGGACTGTGCGCTCAACTCTGGTCTGCATTCACCGACACACAGCTTGACTGGACCTGGGGCGCTTCCTTCCAGAGCTGCATCCATCTCACATACAATCCTGTCAAAAGCGAAACATGCAATGATGCATCGATATCCACTCCAAACCATTGCCATCTGAATTTGGCAAATAATTATAACACAATCCTGATGCACAAACACAAACACACAAGTGTGACTGCACTATGCCACATTCATCATGAGTCTCACTGGTAAAAGATGCTCTCTTTTGGTCATTGTGATTGAAGCAGACTTTCATAGAAGTTGCGGGTCATTACAGAGACTCATCTTTCTTCCTAATAGGAAACCTATAACAGCAATATAACTCAAATGATAAACTACACCCCTCCCCATCACAGGCATGACCGCCATCCGCCATTACCTCCCGTTACCATGACAACAGGGGGGTTTCTCCAATAAATCAGTATTGCCTGTCAGGTCAATAAGATAAAGCATGTTATGTATAAGTCATTACAGCAACTGACCCAATGGTGAAATTAATGGTTGTAACATCTGTAATGTCATGTTTTAAAGCGCTGTGTGAGCTGAATGAATGGCCCTGCTAAATCTGCTGCTTCGCAAAAGAAACCATAAGTCGTCCGCACAATGGGAGCACTCAATGAATCGTCCCGGCCCATCTCTTCTTCTCGTAGATCACGTGGGGATTCCTATTTACAGCTGGCATGTTCCTTTCTTTTTCTGTTTTTTTTCTCTCTCTTTTTTTTTTCTTTTTTTTTTTACAAGGATATAAATAAAGTCGCTGCAGCTTGGTCCCAATCGCATTACATGCCTGTGAGAGAAACACATGGCTAACAGATTGTCCCTCCAGTCAGCGACATGCAGCGCATTTCAATTACAGCTGTACCGACAGCCTCATAACAACGACGACACAAAGACTGTCTGCCTCCTTCTTTGGCTGTGACAGCACCAGAGCAAAGCGAAGCCCCCTGCAGCCTGGGGAGGCGTGTCGACTTTTTACTTACACATCAGCCATGATTCATGATCTTAGAGTCATGGGGAAAAAAAACAAAAAGCTATGTATAGTAAATGAGTATGAAAGAAACTGCATGGGTTAATTTTCATTGACTTTTTGGATTTGTGCAGTATTGCATTCAGTGCTTTGTGAAATATTCATACCCCTTCAACATTTTAATATTAATTCCCTTTAAGACCAAAAACATCAAATTGGATTTTAAGTGATACACCAACACAGAGTAGTACATAATAGTGAGTTAGAAGAATGATGTTTTAGTGGACATTTAGTTTTTACAACAGATACTGATGTTTAAATATATATTTCTTTTCTAATTTGATGTTTACTCTAAGTTTACTTAAGTATATATTTTTTTTACAAACTAGCTCAAGCTCAGCCACATTGGATACCCTGAATATTATGGAAATCATCAATTAATTACAGCAAGTTTTGCAGGTTCTACGGAGCTAAGTCACAGATTCATACAGCGATACACTACTTGGAGTTAAGTGCTGGAATTGAACCTCCAACCTTCTGATTGCAAGACAACTATGATACCCACTGAGACACTTGTGTCTCATGTCTTGGTTTGATTGTAGTTGTGCCTTATTCCTCCTATTGTCAGGTGATGGGGTGAAAGATGCTGTCTGAGGTAACAGCTGCATTGATACTGCAATTAAATTACACAAAGCTGTGCTCTACTTACCAGTCAGAGGCGGTCTAATGACAATTAGTTGTACTGGATTCTACATAAAAGTTTCAGTTTCAATCTATATCCTTTTCTTTCTAATTCAAAAATATGCTCTACTTTGCATTTGCCTATTTTTTAAAATGAAATACTTTGAAGTTTGTGTTTCAACATTATAAAAAGTAAGTACTTATTTGGTGTGAAAATAAAATGTTTGCAAGCTAAAATATAAAGCATTAGTATATGACAACATAAGGATGATCTCTTACTGCTCTGCAGTGACGTATCCCTCCTGCTGCGGTGTGCACTCCACTCCTGCCACCTCCACGTTGCCCACAAGCTCAAAGAAGGAGAGACCCAGGTTCAGGCCCTGAATAGTGACAAGCGTGCCCCCCTCCAGAGGCCCTGCTACTGGGCTTATCTTATATTAGAAGGAGACAAAGAGTACAAAAGGATTTAGTGAGATCTAACTTGTGCGAAGATTTCTAATAACAGCTCTGGACGCCATTATTTTCATTTGTCAGTGTTAAATTTCCTACATTTGTTTTTGTGAACAAATGTAGGAAGTTCAACTTGAATTTTTACAATTTAAGTTAAAGTCTTAAAGTTTACAGCCAAAGCAGTCTTAATAATTCCCTTCTATAAGATTTCATTTAAATTTTGAACTGAAAATTTTCAAGGATGCAACTTGTGCAGAAAATGAAAAATAGGCGTTTTAAAACTTACTCAAAGAATGGCGATAATTTAAAAATAAACTTTCATAAATAATTCAGAGAATAACAAAGCCTTGAGAAAACCATTCACAGCACATGCCAGCGAAAAAAGCAAACTATGCCAGCAGGGGAACATTCGGACCTACAGAGCAGAACAGGAGCAATGGTGAAGCAACTCCGCCTGTGCTGTTGATTCATTCTGCTGCAGCTCCTTCAGAAACACTAATAATGTGACAGGGACATCAAAGGCTGCTGGCTCTTTGAAGTGGAAGAGCCTGGCATCTTTGTGCATGACCCACAGTGCCTTATTCAAGAGAATGAACAGGGGTTTGGGACATAAAAGATCCATCACTTCTTTCTAAACAGACTGAATATGTTTAGCTGTCAAGAACTTAAGGTATTCAGCTGGCATGGAACAAAATGTCAGATAGTCTCAGGTAAACAGACATGACTGAGAATTTTCTGCATTTTGTTGCTGTATAAAGCCCAGACAACGACATATCCACATGATGATCTGGATGTTTTTCCCAAGCAAAAAAAAGTAAAATATACTTTTAAATATTTTTGCGAGGAATTCAACTTCAAGTATTTCTATACTTTAATATTTGTGTTTTGAGATGATTACTCATCTACCTCATTAATCTTCTTCCACCTTTATTTCTCTAAAAGTCTTTTTGTTGATGTGGCATGATGTCAAAGCATGACTGAAGTCACTTTCCTGCTCTCTGTCATGTTTTAAACTTTTTGAACAAACTGCACCAAAGCCAAGAAGTGTTTTTATAGTTTGTTTTGCCAATTATACAGTTTATAAATTACAAAAGGAGAATCTGACAAGAATTATTTTTAATCAAGCACCACTCGACTGATAAACAGCTAAATATAACACATGCAAGCCTATTAAACTAATGATCAAATTGAACATGTATGACTGCTGGTAAAACTGCGCACATGTTGTGTCTGCATGAGTGCAAAAGATGTGCAAGCAACAAACCTCTGTAATGCGTGGGTTGGTACACTTGACATTCCTGGCAGAAAGGTCCAGCCAGCGGCTGGCGTAAGGGGAAATGGGGGGACAGTGCTGCCTCATGGTGCACCGACCCTCACCGCTACACCAGCCACACTGGAACTTCCTTTCAGCACGCAGACACATGCCACAGCTGTCCCGCTGGGCGCTGCACTTGTACAGATGCACTGCATAATAACAAATGATACTTTTAACTGATAAAAGCCAAGGAACTGCACTTCTTTTATGATGTTTAAATAGCTTTAAAAAACCTATAGAAACTAAAAATTTATGGCAAACAGTAATAAAAAAAAACACAGTCAACACATATTGCTCCACAAAGATGGCACAGAATTTTTCCCCCACATTTTGTCATGTTACAACCACAAACTTATTGTGTTTATTTGCATTTACTTACTGTATTTCACTGAGTTTTTATGTCAGAGTAAAACTCGAAGTAGTTCATTCTTGTAAAGTTGAAGGAAAACAATCATTTTCATTTAGCTCCATTTGTCTTTTCATAAACTTTGACCAGATCCTTATGTAGACAACATGATGAAGAAAACAACATGATCCTGCCAACACTATATTCTACCGTGGTGATCATCTTTGCAATATGATGTGCCATGTCTGATTTTGCACATTTTAAAACAAAGCATTTTACATATTGTTCAAAAATATGATTTTCTTCCTATAAAACCAGAATTATTTCTTCTTCATGCTTTCTGTGTCCACTAAAAGGCTTGCAAAATACTTTCAACTGAACTTAAGAATTTCTTTCAACAATGGCTTTCATGTCACCAGTCTTCCATAAAAGCCAGATTTGTGGAGTACGCAACTAATAGAAATTATCTTAACAGATTCCTCCACGGGAGCTGTGGATCTGTGCATCTGATTACCATATCTCAATAAAATACATTGAAGTTTATTGTAGTAATGTGGCAAAATGTTAAAATATTCTTGTGTCATAAATATTTTATATCAAGGTCCAGTATTAGGAAAATTGACAGACTTTCTTTTTAGTTCCTGTTAGCCTGATGTAGCCCTCTCAAAGTGACAAAAAAATTCACCAATGATACAATTCGTTGCCATTTTTAGGGAACCCTTGATTTTAATTTTGGTGCTGTGAATATATAAAATATTGAAACTGATTTATCTAAAAAATTGACTGACAGGAAAAAAAAAAGGAAACCAATCAGGGATACAAGTTGAACAAATATGAAGATTCACCCATTGCCCCCCTGAGCATAGAAGTGATTCTGTGCTCTTTGATAAAAAACCCAAAAGGCCTTGAAATTTCTCTCAAGGCCTTTTGGGAACCTTGAAGTGCTCTCTATAAACCATATATTGCCTCTGGATTGAGTGCTTTACACTCCTTTGGCTTGGCAGTGATGGATGGCAGAGGCACCTTTAATCTTCTCAGGATTGTCGATGATGAAGTTGCCGTTCCATACGATGGAGAGGTCCACCGCCAGGTCACTGATCTTCACACCCTCGTACATGTACTGAAAAGCAGAAAAAAAAACAAGATTGAAAAGGAATAGCCTTCAAAATGGAAACGGGGAGAAAGGAAAGTTGGATGGAGACAGAGGATAGAGAATATAAGAAGACACAGTAAGACTGAAAGGGGAAAATCGGAAGATGAAAGGCCAACGGAGAGACGAGGCTTTTAACCATCTGTCATTTTCTGCTATGGTTGTCTGCTCCGCTCCTCTTTGACATGTAGGGACACAAACCTTGGCTGGGGTGACCAATCATCTGCATCTGAGGAAAATGGCCTTTTCATACATTGTCACAGCATTGCAGTATATGCTGTGCTTCAAAATGTACCCTCTGATTTGCATTATGTAGGAAAAAATCCAAAGAAATCTACTGGCTGCCTCTGAAACCCTGATGATCCTGAATTGCTTTCACAAAATTCAGAGACGGGAAATTATTTCTTTCCTTATGTTTTGCACTTTTTCTCATCACCTCAACTTTTTCTTTCCTCCTCATTCATGTCTCTATGGTGCAACATCTAAGGCAAAATTCATTGATGCTGATACACCATGCACAGCTTGACAATAGAGCGTCTGAGGCGCTGTCTCTGGTTTGACAGCTGAGAGACTCCCGCCGAGCATGTTCGGGGTCATACCGAGCTGTTCTGGCACTGAACGCTGGTGCTGTTGAAGCGCAGTGCCGTGACACGGTGACTGACGCCCTGTACGTTCACCAAGCACTCATAGCCCCGCTGGCCCGACTGCGGCTGAGGGAGGTTTCGGGCCCTCAAGGTGATCGGTCGGACCTCGCCTGCCGGAATAAGAATTTCCCCAGAGTTGAGGAGCTGAGGGCAGTCCTTTGAGAGCAAAAGAAAAAAGTAGTTAATAAGAATACCCCCTCACATCACACATTGTTAGCACATGTATGTATAAAAGCAACATTTACATCTTTTTCTGTTTGACATTAAACTAGTCTAAACTATTCTTCTTTGGATCAGGTAAGATTACCAAAATTATTTAGAACTGCAGGATACTCCAAACATGAAAGAATATAATAATAATCTTTATATTTACAAGTTTATGTACATTTCCTTAGAATTTGGTAGAAATAACTTTTAAGCCAGATGAATTGGGTCAAATATTTCCTTCCACATAACCTGAGTTAGGTTTAGAGGCCATCTTGCTCAACCATGTTTTTTCAACTCTGCCCACAAATTTTCTAGGGTATTAATATTAGAATATTTTGATGACAAATGAGAGCAATGGCTTTGTTGTCTCTAAGCCTTTTAAGAACTAACTGGCATCTTACTTTTTCTCCTGATCCATGCTTGTTTTAGCACATTAATTTTAGTTTTATCCTACCACAAAACATGTCTCCAAAAAGTGAAAACATTGCTCCTGAATGCAATTACAAACTTCTGTATAATCTGGTTTTGCTATGTTGCTTTTGGAATATCAGATTCTTCCTCTCTAAGTGGCTATTCAACTAACGTTGGTTCATTTCTTGTTTCAGTTGTGAGCAATGGCACTGTCACTCCAGACTTTGCCAGCATCTTTGCCAGGTCAATAACTTTGTTGGCATTTGTTGCACATTCTGTATCAAATGCATTCATCTCTGAGAAACAGAGACTGTTATCTTTGTGAATAATTAAATGCTGGACATTCTCTGGGAGTTTATACTTCCAGATAAATGTGATAACTTAAGCATCTGAAAATGTAACCCATGAATCAGACTTCTAGAGGAAAACATCAGGAAGATATTTCTGACATTTAGCTCATACATGTGATAATTCTAACTGACCTAAAACTGGAAGGGTTTAGTTTAATTTTATGTTGTGTGCTGACAAAAAAAAAAAATTGTCATTTCATATTTTGTATATGAAATGCATGATTACGGCTGTGAGTGACAGCAAATCACTGCACCACATTTGCAAAACCTCTTCTACATATTTGTGTGAGTCTGTATTTATAAGCTTATGCTCTGTTACATAAGCATAGAGACCAATGTAGAACAGGGATTAAAAGGCTGTATGGGGCAAAAGTATCAGTATAAATATAACTCATTTTCTTTTGGTGCATGGGTTTATGCAATGCAATAAATAGAGATTTTTTTATAAATACAAATTTGGTTTACTCCTAAAAACTAAGGATCAGCCTCAAATGAAAGTTTTATCCAATACACTATTCTAAAAACTAAGATTATATAGGCAATGTCATTACAACCTCAAAACATCCTCTTATGATCACTTATAGTCACAAACAAGGCTGAAAGCTCTTAATCTTGTTTTTTTTCTTTGCTGTGTAGCTTCATTTTCAGTTCTTTTCAGATAAAAACTAAAATGTAAAGTGTCACTCAACAGATTAGTTGAATATCTGAAAGCATTGTTTAAATCAGGTGCAGTATTTCTGTTTCTGTACCTCTGATACATTGACTCTTCCTTCCTGGAAAGAACAGCTGCTTGGGTCGTGGGTGCAAAGGTTGCGGTATTTACACCAGTGGCAGCGAAATGTGCTGTTTACACATGACAGACACCTGCACAACAAAATAACCACATATAACTACATACCATAAATAAATATGGACATCTTTAAACTATAAACACTCTGTCAGATTCATCTTCAGCAACGTTTTGCACGACCTAATTCAATTTCATTTCTTTCCTCAAGATTTATATACACCAAAATTGAATGTCTTGTTATTTTAGAGATGATAAAATATGACCATGAGAAAGCTGACTCACTGCACCAACCTGCATTTGAAGTAAACTTTAAACAGGTTAATAACTGTACCAAACAACTATAAAGCATCAAGGACATATAATGTCCTTGTTGGATGTACTGTGATGTCAACTTGTCAACATACGGTCCACAATTACTGGCAACCCTTTTTAAGGCACTTTTGAAAATTGAAAATGGTTGTTATGGAGATTGAATGACAACATAGTGCCACTGTTTTCTGCACTTTTCTAGCTCAGAGCCTTCAGTATTAACATCTTTTACCATCTCCGCACCGTGCATAGTGGTGGAAAGGTGAACTTTGGTTGTTGCCCAGCTTTCTTGTTTGCCAAAGCTCCACTGTGCTTTTTTGAAATATTGCTATGGATGTAGAGTGAAGAATTTGTCCTGGAATATAGAAATAAATTTCTTGGTTGAATAAAAAATAACTCTAAATCTAAACCTTCAAGGGGTATAATAATTTTTGGCTTAATATATGGAACATCATTACTTTTTATACACTCAGCAGCACCCATATTGTTTATAACAGTCAGGCTCTGACTTCCCCAGCTCAAATTCCAACTTCTAGAGGTATTATTTCCATATTTCCAACAAGAAAGTCAGAAAATTGGATTTGCAGACAGAACATCCCATAATTGTCCTGGGATACAAAATCCCCAGTTACCAAATACTAAAAACTTGCTGATGCATCTGATCAACTTAAGAAGCAAAGCATAAATTACAAAAATGCTTGAGGAACATTCATTTTATGAGAATTTCCACATGTGCGAATAAGAATGGCATTCAAAAGTTGGATTTTATTGTAATACTTTTTACAAATTATCTCCAGAGGGTGAAATAATATTAGGGTTTGCTGTATTCACCTGATTTAATTTGTTTATACAGCTGCTCACATAATGTTCTTTATTTTCAGGTGGTATTTTTATTTTACCCATTCATCATCTGATTATGTAGAACATGGGTTAAAAGTGGCAGCTCATTATGTGAAGGGTAGGGTTGTGCAACATCCTTGGCTCAGATTCAGTTGCCTCTAGCATGCGGTCAATTGTGGATTAAAGTTGTTCCTAAACAACCTCAGCCAACTCGATTAAACAGCAAACACAGAGACGATTTAAAGAAATTTTCCAATGGAAAATGTCTACTTTTCCTGATGAAGTAAAAAAAGAGCAATAAATCTCATTTAATAGGATGCAGCCATGAAAAAGACATAAACCACCACAAGCCTTTTGATACTGCAGCTCATGCCAACCAACAAATGGCAATAAATGTAGAGCCACATAATTAAATTTTGATAATAATTAGCTGCCCAAGGCTAGGACGGACATTAAAAAGTGCTATGTGAGGGGGAAAAAATATGGGGTGGGAGTGGCTGTGTATCGCCACAGTGTAATTTGACTGGCAGGGTGCTGCAGCCACTGGATAATTCATTATGGAGGCTGATGTGATGCGGAGGTATAGAAAAAAGGGAGATGGGAAAGAAGGTGCAGGGTTAGGAGCATGTTTTGTGTGAAATATTAATCACACAAGTATACAGGGTCACCCTGCAGCTAATGGAGGCCATATTGGTGTGGAGCAGATGCGATGAGCATCCAACTGTTATTCACTAATGGTTTATTATGGGTATGTTGTGGTATCCATGTTTCAGTTAAAATGAATAAATGGGATGTCTGTACACAGCGACTAATTCCCAGTCAATCAAAAAAAAGCACTCTGCTTCAGCCAACTCCTGTTTACTCTTTGCTGTAGTGTAGTAAGCTGATAAAGAATAAGTTGTATGAAAGGTCTTCATGTGACCTTTTAGCTTTGTGATTTGGCCTCTGGACTTTAGCTGTCTTGTGTTTCTAACAAACACACAGAAGTTGCTTGTTTCTAAAGAGTGACACGTACAACTAATTAACGCTCATCCTAATAAGATCCCCTATTGTTCCTGCTTGTAATTGTTATGCAAAATGCAAGCCTCTTGCCATAGTTTACTTTTGTGATTAATACAGTTGACATTTGCAAAATGGCTCATAGTCAAAACAGCTTCCCGGATCCAGTTAGGGAGCTTATATTGGTTGGCATTTAAATAAAGTGCTCTTTAATTTACACACTTTTACCTGCCCTGAGGCACCAGAGGACAAAAAAATAAATAAAAAATAGTGTCTTATGATTTTCCCCTGCAGACTCCCCTGAGACAAAGTTAGGTCAGAGGGGGGTCTGTGACTCTAATGCTTATCCATTTAGCAGCCCTTGGAGAATGCCAGGCTTCAAGAAACAGTTTCTAGCAGCCAGACAGCAAAGCTTCACTGCAGGAAAATTTCACATTGATTTGAAAATTCTAAAGTCCAAAGATGTATCCTCAAATTGCACCATCAAAATCACACGAGCGCTTGATTTTGGTATTGATTAGATGGCAACTGAATTTCTGTATTTTGTCTGACTGAGTTTATTGTTACAGAAGACCAACAGATCAGACTTTTGGTTTCTTGTCTCATTATTAACCATTTCAACATACAAAATTGATTAAAATGCTTTTGTAGTTTCAAATCTAAACTAAAATAATAAATTATTTTCTTGTCTAATGTTACAAGTATTATGCCCCTAATCTTTCAATGATTGTCTTCAATTTAAAAAACAAGGTGGATTAAAGGACATTTAATCAAAAAAATTATTTATGTTTTTAGGGATTTTTTTCTGTAAAGAAAATAAATTGTCTGTTAAGGAGATTTATTGAGATTTAGCAGAATTTTCTTTTTGAACCAAATCACCAAAACATATAATAGGATTGTGATGACATTTAAGAATAAAAAAGCTTCAAGTAAGTTTTCCAGTATAGCAGATGTACTTGAATCTGGTTATTGCAAATGATATCACAATTTTTTACTAAATATTTTAGCCATTACAAGACTTTCTAATATTGTCATTTTACATAGGACACACACCTACATTGATGGTATGCATTTCAAATAAGTTACTTTTACTGTAAGTGAAATTAAAACTTAAAAAAAGCAACTGGGTTGCATAAAAACAGAAACACTATTTTTAAACATCTGAAAGTTTAAAATAATCACCAGCAACCACTGCCATCGTCAGAACCATTTTGGGACATTCCTCAGAATTTATCTGATGTGCCACAGTAAAATTTAAAGTCATAGTTATTGTCCAAACTTAAAAACTTTAACTGTGCAGATAAATGCAGAGGACGATAAACATACAATAAATCAAGAAGAGAGGATTTTTTTTTTCTTATGTTATTTCTAATTTTTCTTTTTACTGATACCAATTGAATTATATCTGCATCTCTATATTGTGGTCAGAGACACAGTGGTGAAACATTTTTTTGTCTTTACAAAAACTAGCACTCAAACAACAATAAAAACTACTGTCAAAAATGATCTTACCATGGTAGCAACCATTCCAGAAATAAATAGACAACTAATTTTCACAGTACTTACAAGATAAGAGCAAGAAAAAAATAGCTATTGAGTGTGTACTACCAAACAGAAAACTTGTCAGCTGTATTCAAAGCTGTAAGCAGTAAGCAGCAAACTGCCACTTAAAGCAAAGGCAAAATAAACAGCCCATGACAAATTCATCATGTTGATTTAAATGAAACCTGACAGATAAATTGAACTCTGAGGTTATCTAGCAGCGCGATCTTAAGTGGGGTTGGAAGCATCAGTACATCATTGCCCTAAATTAAGTTGTGTTCCTCCATCTATTGAACAAATCAAAGGTGGGGGAAGGGCGGTCCACTCACATCTGATGTGTGCTGCAGTTGTAGAACTTCACCTCTGTACTGGCAACCATTTGACCCGTCTCGTTTGAATTCAGACGAAGCTCCACACCGGCCCAGTCTGAAAGAAAGTGTTTATACAAAGAACACAGTTAGCTGAAAAAAGGGGAGGAAAAAACCAGACTAAAACTGGATGAATAAAAGAGCCAAAACAAAGACAGGATCAAAGAAGTCTACATGAGGAGAAAATTGTAATACTTTTATCATTTTCGTGCAAAGAGCCACGTGGTGTCTGGGCTCCTGGAAGGGCTGTCAGGAGAAAGCCTTCAGTCAAAAGCTTCAATTCAAGGATTACCGTAAATGGTTGGAGGAAATCCTGCAGCACTTTGTCCTCACCTAACTTAAAATATATACAAAACTTGAGGCACTAAATAGAAAGGACCTCTACTTTGGGTTAAAACCTTTCAATTTTACATTAACCCTATTTGAAATACTGTGCAATAACTACAAGAGTTTCAACTACATTTCTTCATGCAGCCAAACTTTATTTTAACCTTACAAAGTGGTTTTGATCAGTAGTTCTTCAGGCTTTCAATATATAATAGTATTTTTCACTCATTTTCTGTACAATTCAGTAAACTTGGTTAAAAAAATGAAGTAAGGGGCAGAACAATTGTCCATCTAAAAAAAACTTCTCCCCACACTGGTTGTGATGAGGTTTGCTTCTTTCCATGCTAACAGTTTTGCTGTAATATATCACGATTGTTTTATTTTTAAATTTGTAAAAAAGAGTTTTGAACATAAGGATTTGTTCATAGAACATTTTTAGTTACATCTAGGAGGAAGCAGATGAATAACAGACAATAGTTATCTGCTGTGGAACATTTTTAAATGTGTTTTGCTTTTTAAATTAGTTTTTGCTTGAAAAGAAAAACCCAATTAGAGGACTTGCGAGATGAATCATCATTTGTTTAATCTAGCCATTGCCTTAAAAAAAAAACGTCATTATTTCTTGAGATATTTTCTTGTTTGTTAAAAAATGTAACTCTAGGCTAGATGAAAAAAATTATTTAAAAATAAAAACTGATTTTGTCACAGGAGGGAATTCCTTGAAAATCCAGTATAAAATTGATTATTTGCCGAGTTTGGTTACATGCAAACTGAGGTACATCAGAGTCTTTTCTCCCTAAATGATTCTCTGGTCAAACATTAACAAGCATGACCAACATAAAGCTGACAGTTGCAAATAGTTAAATGGGAACTGGCGATAAATAGAGGTTCTAACAAAAACCTTCATACCGAAACCATCACGAAACATGAGTCAAGACTACTTTAAAAGACTTAGCTTTATTTTTTTGAAGTAAAATGAGAGGTAACTTAAGACCTTTAAAGGTGTTGAAGAATTGTGTTTAATGCTAAGAATTTATTTCAAAAGAACCTATGGACTAATTACAGAATTAGACTAAGCTATGAATTTTTCTAATAGACCCTTTTTTTACAATGAATATTTATGACACTGATGTGTCATAAAATGAGAACAAATCTCAATTTTTAAAGTAAATGGAAAGGAAAGAAAATCTATGCATTCAGTTCCCCTCTTACAACATTAACTAAACATAATGACACCCTCAGAAATAAACAAAAACAGAGTTCACCTCTCAAGAAAAACACATTTGTGTCTATTACAAGCTTTAATGAAATGCATTGCATCAAACAAAAGATTTGTATTTATTAGCTGTGTGCATTGCATGTGTTAGCATAGCTTAAATTTGACTCAGTTTTATAATATCTACACTGTTAAATGCGATTAAAACAGTAAAGTATGGACTTGAACATATGCAGGCACAGCACTTTTCAGTCAAAGATCCATTTAAGCTACATCATAAACACTGATTGAGAAAAAAAATGTAGCCGACAAACAATTTGTCTTGCTTTAGAGGCCATTCGGTTACTTTAATAAATGTAAAGGCTTTATCTTCTCAGTTGGTTCATTTGCAGCCTCTGGGTGTTGTCTCTTTAGCTACTCATCACACATGCTTTGCTTCACAACAACACCTAACAGAGCATCTAAACCCCCCATTTATCATGAGTTAACATGGAATACTCTAATACTTTGGACTATTTCAGGCTTTGATAGTTTAAATACTTCAGCTCATTTGACAGTGACAGTTATCATCTGCAATGTTTGTTTAGAAACTGTAGCGAGACACAACCAACTCATGACCATGTAGACAAACACTACTGTATGTAGGGCACAGACATGCACAGACGCAAAATCAGACTGCTCCTTACTCCACCCTGAGGACTGTCTACACACAGCAGCTTGTTACAGTTTTAACTTTTAATAAAAGTTAATGCACTCATAAAAATAACAGATTAATCTTAGAACATTTGTTAGGTTGACAAATCAAGGCACCCCTACTTTGCAGATTTAATATCTTCACTCACCTTGTCCCTCTGGAATCTGAGGAACTTCCTTCCCGGCTGGTGAGAGACACATGACTCTATTCCCATTGACGTGACCCTCTGCTTGGGCCTGCTGGCCAAATGAACAGGTAATTCCAGCAGAAAGGTCTGGAACATTATTCACCTCCAGTAGGAGCTAAAAAAATATATATATAATTAAAGTTAAAAATGTAGATAACGACAGATTGCACTGCAAGACAGAAAAGTAACCCTAACTGGTGTAAGTAGAGAACAGATATTTTTTACTGTACATTGTGTGTCAATGGTAACTAAGTCAAAAGACATTTTAGATAAAAGCTGTGCTTAGTTATTTTTATTGCATGTATTTATTTACTTATTTGCATTTCTTTTTTTTTTATTTTATTTTTTTTTTTACTAATCTAAGCCTCTGGCTTCATCTCCAAATTTATCAAGCATCAAATTAGTGTTCCATACTTCAATACAGTTAAACCAAAACAAATCCAATAGATGCCCCACAGGGAGAGTCCAGTTCCTGCCTTACTTCATCTCTCACAAAGCTAATCTCTGCTGGGTTTTAACTTAACTCTCTATGTGGCTCTAAAAGGCTACTCAAGGTGATTGCTCACAAACACTAGCATTTTTAGTGGAGTGACAGTGCAGTGATTGGTTAGAATGATAAGTAGACTCACAGGGACGCTATGTGCTGATACAGCAATACTGTCTGGGTGAGCAATAACCTTCACACAGCGGTCAATGTCTGTCGCAAAGCGAAAGCTCTCCTCTGCTCTCAGGCACCGATCTTTTCTTGAACACCTGTTGAACACAAGCACTTTCATTATACAAAATCTTAAAAAATGTAGTGCGTTTATTTTGTTTTCATGCTCAGAACTGTGTATTTGAAAAGTGTGATTGAAAATAAGTATTGCACAAGTATGCACAACACAACTATGTTAATGATGCATCACTTTTCAAGAGTACATGACGTCAAGAGTATCAATTTTTACAAGACAGACCAACTTCAACATGATATGCTGACATAAGCATTAGTATTGCTTAGTCACAACTTCACCTTACCAATAACATAGTTGTTGGGCACAGTGGTCACCATAAAAGTAAAGCTTATTACCACAGCCACACAGGAGTGGTTAATACTGTCACCTTACAGCATGAAGATCCTAGGTTTAAATCCCAGCTGAGGTCTTCCTGTGTGGCGCTGGTATGGTCTCCTTATGCATATGTGGGTTTTACAATGGCATCCTCTCACAAACCAAAACATGCAAGTTTTGTTAGCCACTCTAAATTGCCTTTAAGTTTTTGTGCACATGATAGTTTATCCTGTGTTTCTTTGACATCTTAACCAACATGAGACCTCCCACATGTTGGTTTCTCATTTATTGATTGGCAACAGCAGATTTTCACCAGCACTATATCCAAAGATAAAGTGGGTATAAAAAAATGCATGGATGGGCAAATATATTTTACTCCATCCATTTTTCCATCCACTTCCCACAGGATGAACAAATTCGGTCTGTTTCCAAACCTATTTTGAAAATACTGGTTCTAATTTTATGAACACAGATGTGTGCAACAGAACACCCAGTCCAAATTGGACTCCAGCAGGACTGCATCTCTTGTAATATCTTCAGAATTTAATTTTTGCACCTTTCAGATAATGTGATTCTCTGGGAGGTCACATCTTCTACTTTTACTAAAGCAGTTCACAACTAAATGTTATAAAGGACAAGAGTCGGCTCCTCCAAGTCTGAGGCCAATGTCTTCAATTGGAAAAAGGTGGATTGCTCCCTTGAAGGTCAAGGGTTAAGTTTTGCCGAAGGTGGAGCAAATTGATGTCAATAGTGATGGCATGATATAAAAGGAGATTGGGGGTATGTGTGATGATGAAAGAAGAGCAGGGCCCAAAAAAATTAAACTCTATTTTTACGGCACTGTGAACAGAGCAACCCTTATTATGGTCAAAAAGTGAATGAAGTCAGAGCAAAACCCACGCAACAAGAACTTAACTTTTTCTGTAGGGTCACTGAACCCTACAGAGATAGGGTTTGTAAATTGGTCATCTTGGTGTTGTTCAAGGTCTTCTCTCCATCAAAAGAAATCTTCGGATGGAGGCTTCCACCAGCAGGTCCTGAAGAAACGTGAGGTGACCGTGTATCCCCTCAGGCCAAGGTGCATCTTGGTATCCCCCAGAATAAGCAAGGAATGTCTGGATTTCCATCCAGATTCTTTAATCTCCACAACATGATCTCATGCAACTGATAGACAATTGATGACTATAAACAGTATCACTGAAAAAAAGGCTTCAAAAAGCCAATTACTTTTTCATTTAGTCATCACAAATAAGTGAGCACGTTAATCGGACTTTAGTTTTGGCTTGTTTTTCAAGTAAATTACAAAGCAATAAGCTTTAAATCCTAAATTCTAATATGCAATTAAAAATAATGAGTAAAAGGATGGGTAGCACAGCGGGACGTCACAGGGATTTTTATATGAGACAAAAGCGCACTGAATATACAGTTAAACTACAAGAGGATATTGAAAATTTCAAGCAGTTTGTCCAGTCTTGGAAATGGGGATTAGTTGCTAAGATACTTTTTGTTCCAGCTGTACTTATGCATTTGAAAGGCAAACTTCAAATCGTTCATCTCTCTGCATGCTCATTTTGAAAAGGCGAGAGTATCAGCTGTAAAGTTGACTTGTAATAGCAAACCCAGGGAGCATTTTGGCTGTAAACCATCCTGTCTTTCTTTGAATGCAAACTAAAAGGAGACAGTAGTAATACAGGCTCAGATGCAGCTGGGGGGGTGGCACCTCCTGAGAAAACTCAAAGAGCGCTGAGGCCTCTGCTGTAATTATGGCTCACTATAAAGGTGGATTGGAAACACGATGGCAGCTGTTGCTGGCTCGGCTCCTTGAGGCAAACAACGGCTACGAGAGCATGGATCACCTTCTGACCACTCATCAGCTGAAGTGTCAAAGAAAAAAGGCCCCTTTCATCTCTGACTGTCTTTCATTGCCTTTTATTTTTGTTTCTTTCATTCACTGTGTTTTTGTCTGATCAAACCATTTGTTCCCTTTTTTCCTTCAGGCTTTTTACATGTGCACAAACACCCCCTACCCACTCTGTTAGATAGGTGCTTTGGTGCAAATCACCACGGGTGGGAAAGTGAGATGCTGAAAGCAGTCAACATGACACTGAGAGTGTCATTCAGTGAGCTGAAAAAGACCCTAATCTGCATTTAATACGGCAAAAAAACAAAATAGTTTTACTCTGCAATGTGAGACTTTTTTCTTTTCAAAACTGGAGGGAAACAGCAGCCTGTTCACTCAGATAAGTTTAATTCAAATAAAGAATGTAATGAGATTTGCAGACAAAATTAGCTTTGGAAAAAAAAAAAAAACAGTTTCTTAATGAGGTAATTTAGATTTTTTAAACAGCATTATTTTTGCATTCCCCTATCCTTTGAGTTTGATCATATAGAAAGCTGTAATTTAAATAATGGTGATTACCATCAAGATATAGCCAGCTGAAATGCAAACGTGAAATGATGAGACAGGGATAAATCCCGACTAAGGTCAGCTTCAAACGCTGCGGCTGGTGCCGAAAAGCAGGCTTTTAATCTTCTGAATCCCCTCTGCTCCATATCGAAGTGTTATGCAAGCTAACCTGGGGTCAGATAATTAAGATGGAGGAGATAAAGCTTGCTCCGTCAGGTCCAAAATGTTTCATGGGTATGTAGAAAGTGCATCTGCTGCACTCGCTATGGCTGGAAGGCTAATCCCTCTTTCCTCCATTAACACCCGTTATCCTTTAGTTCGGCAGACAATGAAATCTGGTGATCATGCAGCTTCTGTTGTCCTAAATGCCGCTATTTATGAAGGATCACAAAGTCCAGCAACCACTTTCCTGGTTTTCCAATTTTTGTGGCAGATGTTGATAGTGGGGAGCTCCAGAGACTATAATAAGAGTGATATATCAAATCATATTACTGCAGGCATTACCCCTCTCAGCTTTCTTGGAAGCAGTTTGGTAAAAACAGTGACATTGTGGTTTTAATTTGTCTGCTTTGAATGAGAAAATGAAGGGAGTAGACTCACATGTTGTAGAGCACACACCAGCCACAGTGGGGATCACCAGCGCTGAGGCACTCAGCACAAGTAGTGTACTGCTCACAGGACTCCACAGGGACCTGGACCACCTGGAGCAGAGGAATGACAGGATGGCAGGAAGTTTGGCATGTCAACAACAGCTGAGAACCACAGAAAGGTTTTAGAAAAGCAATTCAATATATCAGTGTTTTGTTTTCAAATATGTTTTAACCTTTTATGGCCAAAAAATGTAGAGTTTGAAGATTAGTGAACACCAGAATTTGCGAGATAATTCATTCATTAGGGAAAGAAGCATAATGATAACGGCTGTGGCTTTCTTACAAACTAAAATCTAAAAATTGTTGCTTCATTTGTACTGAATCCCGTTCAATCAATTCAGTTCTACTCATCAGCTCTAAGCAGTTTCTCTGTTCAAACTGAAGAAAGGCGTAATGCTGCCTTTGCCATGTTTCACTGTGTGGAAAGTAGCCCTCATTTATGTGTGTGTACAGCTAAAAGATACATGGAAAGGTTTCTTTCTGTTTTTATTTTTTTGGATATTATTTGTGCAAATCTCAAACCAGCTCAAGGATTATAAGGGCCAGTTAACATCCATGTGGACTGAAATCACAAGAGAGAAAACCATGCTTGTGTATGAAAATTCTTAGCAGAATGGTGTAAAATTTCAGGGACTGTTTACTGTATTATCTGAAGAATGACTTATCTTCATCACATCACTTTTTGCTCAAAGACAAACAAATATTTTAACCACTTGTGATTGTGTTTGAATTTGCACAATCCTGCCAGGAAAATTTAGTCCTCTCATAACTGCCGCTGGAGTTTTCCTGGGCACGCAAAACAACTATCTCGAGTGACCTCCTGTTATTTCCCATAATCTCCCGTGATCTCCTGTGATCTTGCTCGTCGTCTTCAGCACAAGATCAGTCTGACAATAATGAATCATGTTATCTCAACATGATTACATTTTATAAACATTAGGTTTATGAATTTCTTGTTTATCCAACATGATTTTATCAGGTTTTTGTTTGAAACATAAAATTATTGTGTTGAAAGTACATTATATTCTTTTCTTCATGTAACAACATTAAATAGCACAAGTTTAAGACCAGCACATAAGGAAATTTATGCATACTGTGGCTCCAAATGTTTCCTGTATAACCATGTGGTGGAGTTCAGTTTTATTTAATGAAAACTTTTTCTTTTCATTCTAAGTGATCAGTAGCTGTTCCAATTACTTCTTCCAAACCAGCATCCAGAATCAGCTTCATTCTGGAAGTGGACTAATGGCAGAGAAAACTAGAACTCCAAAACCAAAATACATCTTTGTTTCGGTCATTTGGACAAAGACATTTTTAAGTGGGAGATCTGGGTTGTACCTTTGGATTTGGGCCACAGTAGTTTGTTGTACTGAGTACCTAAAGAAGAACTTATTTTACTGCTTTTAGACTGTAACAGAACTCTTAACAACTCACTATTGAATATTTTTTTGGCAAGTATGCCAAGATAAGATAAGATTAGTCTGCTGTGCAACATTTACCAACACTATTTCAAGAAGTAAACTACATCTTACACCCACTTTCTGTTTTCATTTGTTCTAGCACATGGAAAAACATTTGCTAGAACAAATGAAACACATAGCATGTGAGCTTTTAAATATGTTTCAGTTCACACACAAGAACACAATCTTATCCTGTAGTAAGTCACATACTTGCATGAGCTTCTGGCAGAGCATTAGCTCTCAATTAACTGCTAAAAGTCGTTGCTGTTACACCACCACTGCATACCGAGCCATTTGGAGCAGCAACCTAAGCATGCCTGGTTTCTACTTGGTTATTATTCTGGGTCTGTACATATGACGCAAGCAATTTCCTGATGTAAGCAATCAGAAATGAAGAGTGGATTATGGATTAGAGTGTCTCCGGTGCACTTGATAGCATAAGTGGGTGCTCTCTCAGGTCTGTGTAGGCAAAATGGATTATCTGTTGCTCCCTACAAATAACTGTCCTTTTTTTTTAAACAGCAGTTCAGAACCCATTCGTGGCATTCCATTAGCAGAATGATTTTGCAGTGTGGGAGGGGCCGAGGGCTGTAATCCATGAAGAGTTGTGGTCCAGAGCTCATCCAAACTAACATTGTTGGTCTGTGAATTGCAGACAGCATGACCTTTACAAAGAGAGAAGAATGGATCTGCTTTCTGGTACCCTACAATGCTTGCTCTAAACGTAAAGCAGTATTTGCTTTGTGAATCTGTTTTGAGGAAGAGCTTGCTGAAATAAACCCAGAAATGCCTCCTTAGAACCTTTAACGATTAAAAACACTATAACATTAAAAAAAAACAGACCATAGATTGTGCAGAAGGTTTTAAAGAGGTCATTTATGCCCAGTGAGAGCACAGTGAGCTCAACATTTTTGCTTAATAGTGAAAGAAGGTTCTCACAACTTTCATAGAGAGGTTGTGGTGGTTCATTATCATGTTGGCAGCATGACAAAGGCCTGGGTGAGGCAGTGTGGAAGCAATGTTTACTTCTTCTGGCGCACATCTAGATAGATTACTCCCAGGTGAATTTGAAGCAGAACTGTCTAAGTTGGTCTCATACAAGAAGAAAAAGTCTTCAGTTTAGCATAAACCCTAATTTCCAAACAAACCCTTCAAAGAAAACCTCTCAGTTTTTCACAATGACGCTTTGTTTTATTTATTCAGCTGAATCTGTTTGCAAAATGTCAATTCAGCAATGTTTGGCATAAAACACTATTTGACACTAACAAGAATTTTGAAGAATTATATTTATATTGTCCATAAAAATCTTGACTTTTAAATAGAGCTTTTCATGGGAGAACTTTAACACTTTGTACATTTTTAGGCACATAATGAGCAATACAGCATTGTGATTGGGAACATTGGATGGTAGAGCGAAAAAGGAGCAGAGGTTCAAAGAAAATATTTTAGAGCCATTAGACTCCTGAAGAGTGATCAAAACTACTATAAGATTGTAAGAAAATGTGGCCTCTGAGAAGCAAAATTAGAAAAAAGCATGGGGAAATGTAGACGCTTAACACAGTAATGCAAATAACAATATGTGTAAATATGCATAACATTAGCTTTAATAAAAAGATGGTGTGATAGTTTATTGTAATGGATGCAGTATTTCCACTACACAACCAAATATATATGCACACTGATGTCTTTTCACATTTTCAGTTAAATAAATTCTCCCTTCATTAATATTTATTGCACTGTATCTATTTATGTAAATGCACTGTAAATCATTCATGGCTACACAAAATATTTTATCTATTTAACTTTTGTTTGGAGATTTCTTTTTCTTGTAGAAACTGATCATTTAAAGAAAATACAGAACAGAAAAATAGTTTGGTTCACGCTGCTTCCTGTAAAATGCTTGCTGGCAGTTTCAATCACAGCAGAGCTGGAAAAGCACAGCATTATATTTAATTTGTAGCTTTTTGAATGCGAAAAAGTATTATTCGCAACATCTGGAGCATCTTCAAAGTAATGTGTGACCCTATGGTCTACACAATTTGCCACTACTTTTCCCTTTTATCCGGATAAACTGAAAGTTTATAAATGAGGCCAGATGAATGTACGGGCATTTGGAGCTCTGTAATTCTGAAATCCTATACCCTCAGTCTGCTATGGAAAATCCTTTAAAATAACATGTTAGTGTAATTTGTCAACTGAGGATTTCAGGTCATATCAGGTCTCTCCTTGATGGGAACTGTTTTCAGATGATGTCTCAGATTAAATTAAGTTATTTTACTGCACAACCTGTAAAGATTGCTTTTTTAACATTTCTAAAAATGAATGTTCTTGTGCATAGCTGTATATTTTTAATGGTGTCAGAAAAACGTGGCTAAAATGTATCAGAGTTTGCTAAACTGAAAAACATGCATCATCATCCATAAAAATTTAGATGTCATATTGAAGCAAAAATCATCCTCCTGCATCCATAAAAGCAGGAGGTTTTCACAGTTGGACTGTCATGGCGTTCATGCACATGTTGACCTAATGACAATCAAATATGCTCTAAGGAGGATATGCTACTTTTCTAGGCTTAATAAGACTTATACCACTGTTCAATTATTTTTGACATTTAAATGTGTCCTTAGATGACATAACTACTCAGAGTGTATATTTTTGTTTAATATCATATGAAGCTCAAAAATTCCAATCTTGCAAAATATCCCTCATTCAACACACATGGCAATAAATAAAAGGGGCCATGTGTCAACAAAACATGACATAGAGAAACACTTTGAGGTAAAAGATATAAATTGTGACCTTATTTTTCCACTATATATTAAATGTTAAATAAAATTTCCCAGAAGTGATACTCATGCTGTAAGATCAGATGAGTGTTGCAAAACTGGTAGAAAAATAAATAATGGAAAACTGAGGTAAAATATGCATCAATATCATCAAGACATCAGACAGAGAACAAATAAACTCATACTTTATTTTCTACAGATATAACCAAGCAAATGCACTGGTTGGATGTGTTTAGATGTGCAGATAGAGAATGGCATGTTGACTGTTTTCTCTAACGGAGTTTGAAAACCTGAAGCTTAGAAAACAAACATCGTGAGCCAGAAACTTAGAACAATCTGTTAATACTTAGTCTCTTCTCCAGGTCCCACTAGAAAAGTTTTCCAGTCTGGTTAGAGCTAGATTCTGCATGTGCATGAATCTTAGGTTTCCTTGTTATTAATAACACAATTCAAAAAGAGTATAAATCACTAAAGAAAAACCAAATCAGATAACAACTTTACAAAAACAAGATTGTGTGAAGGAATATGTATTATTGATTAAGGGTGAAGAGCTGAGTTCTTCATGTTGCTTTAAAAAATCTGGCATATATCACATTACCATACTTAAATTCATCCTGGCAAATGCAATTCATTTAAAAAGCATCTTTTAAACACCTGCAAAATTGCTTCAAATTATTGGGCTTATTAAAAAAAGATGAGGTCAGCTGCACTGGTCACCAATAAGAGCTTATTTGAAAATAGAATCAGCAGCTCTACAACTTAATTGACAAAAATGTTCACTTCAGCACAAGCCTTTACCAAAGGGCCTCACAGTTATAAGTGAGATGACTAATGTTAAAAATTATCAAATAAAAGCAGCAGAAATGAGTCAGGAAAGGACAAAAACAATGGCCCTCAAATTAGGAATGAAAGTAATGCCACAAATAGTAATTTAATTGTGAACACTGCTGTGCTACAGAGCAAGTAACTTTTCGGAAACCACAGCCTAAAAGACAACGCATAAAAAATGAAGGTGAAGAAAGCATAAGTGGAGTAGAAGGAAACTTTAGAAGCACAGAAAGAGAAAAAAATTAAAATGATTTCCTATCAACTGCACCAATTATTATTATTATTATTCAAAGTTAAGGACTTTGGAAAAGAAAAAAGGAAACACTAAAGTGTTTATTGTGGCAGATTCTTCAATTTGAGATGGAAATTGCAAAATCAGATTTGATCTGGTCAATCAAACAGAAAGAGGGACTTATTTAGTCAGGAGACATTTCAGCAAACTGAACTGCTAATGTCTTGACAATTTAAACACAAATATGAATGTGTAACTAAATTCAGAATAAATTTATTAATGGTACAATTAGAAACACCCAACAGAAGATTGCAGCATCAGTGTGATAGGTGGTGGGTGCACTGAGGGATTATACATGTGACAAAACCCATGAAACTTCCACGACACAGACATGTGGCCATGCCAGGATCTCGGGAGGCACAGAAAACTGGGATTACATGACATATGAACACTACAGAGTCATTGTGGTTCACTGTGAAGAACATTAACATCCACAAAGGTAGGGCCCAGGTCTGGCTGGAGGAGCAGCTCCTGACTCAATCTCTATTTTGCAAGGTTTGCACAAATTTCCTCCTAGGACATCCCAAATTTAACTCCCTCCATCTTTTCATCAACTTAAATTGGTGTATTGTTCGCTCATGGTTGACCGATACAGACAAAACATGTTACTGCAAAATCTAACCCACAAACTCTTGAAAAGAGCAAAAATCCTATAAACTGTAAACAAATAAATCTTGGCAAAATATGAAAAATAAACCACAAGGACATAAAACTACCCAGGAATGGGACTGGAATGATAAAAACTGTCCTCCTCTCTTTCTCAATCTGAGTTGGGAAAGCACCAAACTTTGCAAACACTAAGCAAACATAGCAGCTTAATGTGATGTTATTTTGTTCAGTCAAATTGAAATTGTTATGACTGAGCATTAGCAATGAAGATGTTAGGTTCAAATGGAAATTAAGGCAAAAGTCTTTTGTAAACTTTGAGGAATCTGGCCATACTGTCTTACTTCACATGTTCAAATGAAATGAGCAACATTCATTTCATTTGAAACATAATTTAGACACTTTACACAACTCATCTGCCAGAAAGTGTGTAAAGGTAACACTCACCGTTAATAAAAAAAAATTAAAAAAAAGTGTTTTGAGAAAAAAGAGGGAGGTGGAGATAAACAAATATGTGTATGCTGGGATTTTCAAAGAATGATTTATCATTTTCTTGACTGGCACTCTGAGGGATTTCCCTGGAAAAACCTTGCAGCAGTTTTGTGTTTACTCCAAGACTGAAGACCTTAGCAATCAGTTCACAGACAGAGGAAGAAAACTCTGTGAGTCATGTGTTTGCATTATAAGCATTACTGTACTAAAGAATGATCAAACTAAAGACTCATAGTGAGTAAAAATACTAAGACAGCTGCGAATCCTTTTTTCACATCAAACATTGCTCCCAAATGGTCTTTAAGAAAAACACTTATATCCATACATAAATACTGTGTTTTGCCTTTATTTTGCCTCACTCTACATCATCATGCTCACACTGTGTGCTTCAAAAGGAGAGTCAACGGCGAGCCTTATTGTCATTCCACATGAGTTGGCTGATCTCAGCCAAATCTTTCTGTACCTCATTCCTCATTCTTCATCAGTGCTGCATTGTGTGGCTTTCACCAATCTGAAAATCTCTCATAACTGGGATCCACTGCAAATGTGGGGAATCTGTAAGTGAAGCTCGGTCTCTTGGGGGGGATTCCTTACCAGCACTGCGGGAAAGTCTTTCGGGGAGCGCTCAGGCAAAGATGGAGATGAAGACAAACAGAGGAAGGCTTTACTTTCCTCAAAGCTTGTGAGGACTACAAAGTCAAAGCTGTTCTAATATTGAGAGAAAAAGCTTGGTCAAGCTGGGTTTCTGGTTTCCTGCTTGGTTATTATGCGCCACTGAGCAAGATGTGAGGGGAGAAAGTAGCTGGAAATCTCCTTGAAAGAAGCTCGCGTCTCTCCTTGAACAACCAGGGCTCATCAATAAATGATGCTGTGTCTCTTCCAGTCAATCACAAACACAAGAAGTGCCTTGATTTGTTTTAGAAAATGGTGCTCAACACAGTACTGTCTTTATTCTCCCGCTTCCTTCCTTGATGACATCCCTTGCTCCCTTAATCGTCATACTTTTAACAATAGATGGCTTTTAAAGTTCATTTTCATGCTCTTGAAAAGAGTTTGAGCCCGCTGGCCTTTGGCTCCCCGTCCTGTGACTCTGCTTCGGTAGATTCCAGCAGAGAGCAGTGATAGGGGCTTTTTCTGGCCACAGTGAAACCTAATCCCATTTCACAGTGGCAGGCCATCGCGCCAAAATAATCACTTGATGGGAGTTGAAAGTGATTACCAATGTTCTCTCTTATCTGCAATGAGTGCAGAGAATACCATCCAGCAACAACTATTTGCCTCTGTGATGGCGGGCCAAATGAAGAGCGCAATAGGGGGGCACGTTCATCCAGAAAAAAAAAACCCTTCAGTGGCTTTCCACGGTTTTTATGTCAGCAGTCCTCACAAAAGATGCACGCACTGTAAGTCGATTCGCTTGGATAAGTAATTAGAGCAATGGTCCATCCCCTCACACACAGCCTACATATTTAACAATCCCTCTGTAGACGTACATTTGAATTTCCTCTCTGTGTTTTGGCGATAAGCCATGATCATTTGGTTGTATTCCAAAAAAAATATTATTCATTAGTCATTTATTGCTGTTTTTAATTTGAAATTGTGTTAGCTGCTAATTTTTAAACTGTAAATACTTGCTCCAGCAGGAATTGCTATTTAAGCAGAACAAAGCAAACAGTCTTATGTGCAGCATCCTGATAAGTTCAATCCAAGCAAATCCCTCAAAAAGAAGAGTTATTTATTTTGTGCTTCAGCAAATCTGTAATTTTATCTGTTTCTTTGACGCAACACCCAGAAAAGTTAACAAATAAAAAATAATTTCACATCAAATTAAAGTTTTAGCTCCAAATTTCCATGCTATGCATTCAGCGACTCGCTCAAGGGCACATCAGCATGCTGAAGGTTTGCTCTCAAAGTGACTTGAACCCGCAGGCGTCCTTCAGATCTCAGCCTATCGCTACATCCCCACCCAGCTCAGCATCTCTTCTGACAGAAGCTCCAAAATAAGGGCGTTTCCTCACCTGATAGTCAGACATGACATACAGAGAGTTCCTGTCCAGAGAAAAGGCCATGTCCCGTAGGACCGAGCTGCTGTCCTTCATCACAGTCAGCGTCTCATACAGCACTCCTCCCTCCTGAGCGCCGTCCACCCTGATCTAAAGAGATGTCGACAAGCAGAAACAAAGAGATAATATTTATTTTTTTATCAGTGAAAAACATACTTAACCTTTACAAGGAACAAGAAAATAAAGATCGCTTTTACTATCGTGAGCAAAAATGTTCACTTACAAGAAAAAAGTACAGATCAATGAATTAAGCTTGTCTATGACATTTTTAACAATTTAAACATCAAACTTTTTTCTTTATTCCCAAAGAGGTTCATCCGATCACAGCTGCACAGCTATAAAGGAATTATCCTCCAGTGGAGATGTCAAATATAGTAAAACATAAAAATACAATATAATTTACAACGTTGAGGTTCAACCTTGAAGGGATTTTAAATATAATTAGAGAAAACCCATATGCAACATAAATTTGATAAAACGACTAGATTGTATACCATTGAGGCTATCTATTCCTCAATCATGAGCAAATAGCAAAGTGCATTTTGTCTGCGTACTGGGACCATGCCCCATACATATATTGTGCATGAGTAGATTTACAGAACCCTGGATCTATCCAGACCACATTATAGAAGATGCAAATAATGGTCAAGAAGAGACCATTGCCAGAAACAGTTCGGTAAAATCAAATTAGGAATTGAGAGTTTTAATTTACATGTTGAATTAAGTTAAAGAGGGTAATATTTTACTCAAAATTCACATTTTGCTGTTTAATGAAAGAACAAATTGTTTATATTTAGATATGGACTAAAAAAGCTTCTTCAAAACTCCCTCTAATATCACAATTTCAAATTCCCAATTTAGACCAATTTAAAAGGGAAGAAAGGAAATATTGAAGCTCCAAGTCACAAAATATGTTAATGTGTCTTTAGCTTTTTAAGGATTCTTTCAAGGAAACGCAGCATTGTTCTTCCAGTTTTAAATTTTGCTTTAGCATCTCAGGGCTGGATTCTTAGACATAAAAAATTATGTTTATCTTTTTATCGCCTCCCAAAATGTCCAAGATGTTTGCCACTCAGTTTTGCTACAATTTCCATTGCACTCAAACAGTTCCTTGTGAATTCATGGCTTTTAAATAGAATTTCTTTTGACTGCAAACATAACAGATGCCGAACGGTAAAAGGTTTTCACTTTTCCTTTCCACTTTGACAAACAATGTGTGCTGTTTCAGATAAGCAAAATAATAAGCAGGTGAGCCATTGTTCAAAGTCTGTCGCTGATGCACACGCTGTCAATAGGCAGCTTGTTTTTGTAGAACTACATTTACGTACTAGTTTCTGCGAAATGAAAGCGTTTCAGCTTTTCATCTGGTTTCTACTTTTTTCTATGTGCTTTTCTTTACAACAGTCCTTAATTTTATTTCCAGAAAAATGCCTGTATTTGCAGTCACAAAACCTATGTTTGTCTCTGCAGGAATAATGTAAACCGCATCAATATTAATGACACACTAAGTGAAAATCAAAAGTGTGAAAGAGGCAGCAAAGTCGGAATAAAAGCAAACCACAGCAAGAAACAATCCTCATTAGCGATGCAAACCCAAGCTGAAGCTCCTTTTAAATTCAATTGAAAGTGGATCATTTGCTGTGTGATGCAATTATAGTAAAGCTGAATTAATTTCCCAATCATAATAATTAAAAGAAATGCAAGATCATGAAGACATGGAGTGGAGAATTGTGGAATTGTGCTCAAACGACTACAGTGTGATTATGCCACATCTTCTCAGCATGAGTCTGAGCACGTGGCCTCGGCACCCAAATCAAATTTGACTGCAGATGATTTTGAGCGTTTGCCAGGTCTAGCTCGCACAATGTGGCAGAGCCTCAGCATTCTCTCAGTGGGGACAGTCAATCAATACAAACTGATTACATGATTGGATCCCCCAGGCACCAAAACTTCATCAATCAATCACGGCTCCACCTTCCAGGCAGTTGCGCCTCGCCAACAGTCAGCTCAGGCAGCCAGGAATGAAAAACAGAGGGGGGGATACGTTTGCTAAAAGCTGTGTGTTTTAGATTAGGTGGAAAGGAGGATAGAAATAGAAGTAACGTGAGGACATGGCTTCAGTTTTTCACCCAATACTACCCAGCCGCAATAGTGACAGGACCTTTTTGGTTGTTGTTTTTAGATTATGTAGAGGGCTCTATTCTTTCAGGATTGTTTGTTGGCTTATTACCATGTATATTTTTGTTGCAAAAGATACTTAAAATATAATACCCTCATTAGAGGTCTTCCTGATTCTCTTTTCCTCTTCAGAATCCCACAAACACGCAGATTTTGCTATGCTTTCCCACACTCTTCTGTTCAAAAATAGCACACGAGAATGTAAGCATTTCTGTTGGAAAACAATGTTTAAGAATAAAAGAAAGGGAAACGCACGCACACACACAAAGAGGACAGATATATTGAACTTTGTGGCATTTTGGCAGGAATATCATGAGAGTGGCCAAGGGATAGAGATACTAAAATGAGCCCTGACAAATATTGACCCATCATGACTGATCTGAGGAGTTTGATTTCAGCACATTCACACATGGTTTTATTATCTAAAGCGGGGCTGACCAGGTGGACACCCTCTGGGAGGACCAGGTCCTCAATCTCTCCTTAAGCCCTACAGCTTTATAATGAGAGTAAGGCGGGTTTAATTAGTTTTATAATGAGCCTGCTTGTTGAAGGTGACACACATTGTTGCCCACGTACACACAAGAGAGGAGTGGCAAACAAAAAAATAATTAAAGTAAACAAGCTCACTCTCCTGTTGGTTTCACTCATAAAATTTGTAATTGCAAACTGTAAACATGATGGCTTACTTGGACCACCTTTGGATGTGCTATATTATTAAAAGGACAGACCAAACATGAAACAATAAATGTTGGCCAAGTCACTAAGATAGTAGTTGAACCCACAATCAGCGTCTTATTCATTAAGCAAATAGAACAAATTAAATTGTGATAAAATTCGGCATAGTTGTGAGTTAACCTGTGTTTGATGGGTCGATTACTCCCACCTGACCAGTTATAAAATGTGTTCTTTCTATAATTAGTATGTAGTTTTCAGTGCTAATCATGGCATGTTTGTTTCTTTTGTTTAGTTGTTCAGTACTGAATATGATCTGATTAAAAATAGTGCCTTGATTTGTGATTTTAACAATATGTAGTAAAAAATTATTCAATTCAAATGAAGTAATAATCAATGTCTAAATAGATTTTAGATATACTTGAAATTCTTCAAAATATAGAGAAATGTCTTTTTTTCTCTAAGAGAAGATAATTTAAGAAAATAAAATAGTCACCCTTTCAGACTTTAAGGATTTATGAAATTGATTTATAAATATTGAAATAGCTTAATTTATTTTAATTCTGTTACAACAATATGTGCTGTAATTATTTGAGATGTGTTGTCAATGGAAAAAATGCTTTCTTGAAAATGTTTGGAAACAGGGCTTTGTAGATATAAAATTGCTGTAAAGAAGCTCTAAGTCTGGGCTTGGGCTTTGCTGCATTAAGTGTATCTCAATGTTCAAGTAATCCCAAACGTGCTCTAGTGAGATCTGGTGACTGTGGAGGCCATTGGATTACAGTAAACCCATTTTCATGCTCAAGAAGCCAGCTTGACATGATTTGAGCTTTGTGAAAAGGTGCATCATTCTGTCAGAAGTAGCCACGAGAGGATGAGTGCACTGTGGATATAAAATGATTGACATGGTCAGGAACAATGCTCTAATAGGCTATGATGTTTACATTACTTGTAATTGGTTCTAATTGTGCCCAAGTGGTGCCAAAGAAATTATCTGCTGCACCATTGAGCCAACAGCACAAGTCTACAATGTTGACGCCAGACAGAATGGTTCAATATTTACAGTTATGTTGTCTATGCCATATTATGACTCGACTATCACAACTGAAGTTGAGTCTTATCAGACCAGGCGACACCTGTTGACCAATCTGTTGTTGTTCAGTTTTAGAGAAATCCACTGATGCCATTTATCATCTCAAACCAGCCTAAACATTTCCCTTTGACCTCTGACATCTTTAGGGCATTTTGATTAACAAAACTGTGGCTCACTGGATATTTCCCCTTTCCTGACATAGATAGCAGTTGATTAAAATCCCACTAAATCAGCTGTTTCAACAAAAGCAATTCCAGATTCAAAATCACTTTTTCTCTCATCTATAAAAATGTTCTCCAGGTGTTTATCTTCAGATCTTATCAAGTGTTCTTCAATTTAAATAGCTGAATAACTATTTGTAATAACAAACATTAAAACAGTTGTACCTCATAAACAGCCGAGCTTTTTTGGTCATGTGACAGTCATACCAATCTAAAATAATTCTTAAACATTTTTTAATATGGAAATACTACTCATCTACCTCAATTACACTGCATAACAAAGTGCATGGGGAGCTTTTATTTGAACAGGAGCCTAATGTCCAGAGTTTTACTTTCAGAAATCTTCTCCTGTAGACTTCCTTGTGTTGTCCCTGCCATATGAAATAAGACTTGTACAGAAACTGTTTTAGTATACACTTATTTGACCTTAGTGTGTCTTTCATTTAATTCCCCTGTCCTTTTTTCACACAGGAAAAAAGGACATATATTTAACTCAAAAATATGTAACCCAACAGCAGCAATATCCGTCCTGCTGCTTAAATTATCTTGCAGGACCTGTGGTGGTTATAAACAACAGTTTGGCTTCCCCAAACAAATATGCAACCTGAGCCTGTGCTTAAGAAAAACAGCCTTTCTTTCTCATGGATGGCTTTGCATCTTAAGCACAGTCTAATCTCATGAGAGCCAAAGAAAACAAGAAATGACTTCTAAGATATGACTTGGCTCGAGTCTGGTTGGCTCTGTTGTAAAACTGCCAGACCTTCTGTGATGGAGTCACCTACCAAGACGTCTCTGCAGTGAATGTTTACATATGGGATGGATTATAAACGATGATTTACAAGCTCGGGATGTTTGCATATAAGCGTCTGTCTTTTCTTACCACAGTTAAAAAAACTGTGTAGATGACTTTGTTTATGGGTTAAAGG